GGAGGGATGCCAGCTCCGGGGAATCAAAGTGAGGATGGGGGAGGCGGGGCACAATGGATGTGTGTCTCATTGAGATTGAGGCTTTAAGATTGACCGCCGATTGGGGTCTAGCAGCTTCCAGCGGCTGAGAGGCGGTGTAAGATGGGGTTCTGGGGAACAGGGAGGGAGGGATGGGGGTTCCACAAGCGGCCGAAAGGAAGGAGACCGGGAAACGTGCGGCGCGGGACCAGGGCAGAAGCGCATGCCCCGATGCTCGGAGAAGTACGGTCGCGACGACCGGGGGCGTGTCCGGGGCGTGTCTGGGGCGGGGCCGGGGCGGGGCCGAGTCTGGGCCGAGTCCGGGCCGGGCCGGAGCCGGAGCCGGAGCGGAGCCGGCGGCCGCGCCTCCCCGCTGTCGCTGCTGTCCCCGCCCGGAGTCCGGCGCCGTCGCCCCGCAGCCCCCGCCGGCCGCGAGCTGACGCGGGCATGAGCCTGGCCAGCCGTGCAGTGGACCCAGCGCCCCCGGGCCGGGCCGCGGCGCCCAGGTAACCGGGGGTCCCGGAACGGGGGTGTGGGGGGCCCTGGGCCGCGCCGGAGACCCGAGAGCGCCCCTAAAGCCCGCCGGGGTCCCGGGAACCAGTCCCCGAGCCCGCCCTCCCCGCGCTGCCCGGGCCTTCCTGGCCGGGGGTGGGGGTCCACCCCGATTGCGCTGACTTTATCAGAAGCCAGAGGCCCCCCCCCACGACCAGGCGTGACCCAGTCCAGTGCAGGCCCCCCCCCCTCCTGTCCCCTCCTGCCTACTTTCCTTCCTCCTGCAAATTCCAAATTCACCCCGGGTCCCCAACCTGCAAGGGCCTCCTCCTCCCTTTCGGTTCCGACTGGCCCGGGATGGTGGGGGGGCTTCTTGGTTCCCCTTCTCCTTCGGGGTCCCAGAGGCCTTGTCTCCTGCTGCCGGTCACCGCTCGGCCCAGGAGTGGGGCTCTGGGTGCCCCACAGTCTCCAGGGCACTTACTGAGCCTTGGGGGTGGAGGGCAGGGTCAGTGAGGGGTCCGCAGGGTTGGGGGGCGCAACCCCACACTCCAGAGAGACGCTGGCCCCGGGCCCCTTTCCTCTCCTGTCCTGCTAGGGCCACAAGGGTTCCGTGCAGACTCTTGTCCTTTTTCTTTTTTTTTTTTTTTCCCTCCCAGTGGTGGAACTCGGGTCTCAGTCCTGCGCTCACCAGTCAGCCCGGGCCCAGCCTTCTTTTCTAGCTCCCAGCCTGGACGTGGCCACAGCCTCTGGCCAAGGCTCTGCCCTCTGGGCAGGGTAACAGGGCTGGGCACGAGCTCACCCAACCGCCTGGGTGAAGGTGGGAGCCTGGCCTGGACTAAGTATATGCCACGCCCTCGCCCCTGAGGCAGGCTCTGAATCCCACTGGGGGGTGGGGGGAGGTCTGGAGAGCCTCCCCCCCCCCCCATCCCCACCACCACCACCAAGGCCCTGGGGCCTATTTCCAGAAAGGATGAAGATTAGTCTCCCAGGAGAATTCCCCCCTCCCCCCCCTCCCAATGTCCAGCCCCAAGTGTCCAGCCCCGGCGCTGCACTGGTCCCTGTTCTGAGTTCTGGGAGCAGCTGCCCAGGGGAGGAGGCGGGGAAGCCCCCCCACCCCATGCCAGGCCCCCAATCACAGGTGAATGAAGGTGGAGTCTAATGGGGCAGGGCCGGGAGCTTCTGTGGCCAGGGTGGGCCCAGGAGGCCGCTCTGGGAGGTGACCTTTGAGCTCGAGTGGCAGCGAGAACCTGGGGACCAGGTGAGGGAAGAGTATTTCCGAGGGGCGATGGCGAGTGGTCCCCTCTTGCTGCTGGGTGCCTGGGAAGTTGGCAGGTGGGCACGTCAAGGAGGTAGAAAATATGCCACTGGCAGGGCAGGCGTTGGCAGGACAGAATAGCAGTGGTTTGGGGGCTCTGGAGACTGACGGCACCCCACCCCAGCGCTCCACCCAGGGGCTGTGGGATTTACCTTTGCACCCCGGTGGATGAGACCTGCGTGTTCTAGGCTTGGGGAGGTGGGCTCCCCCAGGGGGTTGGCGGTTTTGAGGGGGCCGGGACCCCTCCCGGCCCTTGCTAACGAGGGTTTGGGGGTCGAGAGGGCTGGCCCACCCGGAGGCTCCCCGGCAAGCAGCAGCCCCGACTCTGAGGGCTCAGCTTGGGCCATCCCTGAAGGCCTGATAAGATCCGAGCTGTCAGGGCTGGGGAGGCCGGGGCTGGCGGGCGGCGCTGCCCAAGCTCCCTCATTGGCTGCTCGCTAGGCCGGCCGGGAGGGAGGGAGCGTTTGTTCGGGAGCCAGAGCCTAGGGGCAGAATCCAGGTGTGGAGGCTGGGCTGGAGGTGGTGGTGGTGGGGGGGTGGTATGGAGAGCTGCAGGGATGGGAGGCAGGGGGGGCCCAGCCCCTTCCCTCTGTGCCCACCAGCGAGCCCCCTGCTCCACCCCACGGCATTGCCCTCCTGGGGAGTGGGCTGCTCTGGAGCCTGCCAGCCTCTGGGAAGCAGTCTCTAGTGGACAGACAGACAGACAGACAGGCCTGTAGATAGTTGGGAGACAGACAGTTGGGTGCTCTGTTGGGTTGAGAAACTGACTGCATGTGGGGTGCGGACACAGGGGTGGGTGGTGAGGGGGCATGCTCCCACCTCAGGAGAGGGCTTTCTGATTGAGATGAGGGAGGCCCAGAGCCGTGGTCAGGGTCCTCTTTTCCTGGGGGGACAGTGGGGTTCCTGGAGGGGACAGCAGGGCTGGCTGCTGAGTCCCACTGCCCTTCTCTCCTCGTTGCTGCCCTCAGCCTGGGGGTCTCGGGCCGGCCTACGCAGTGTAGCCCCTGGGGAGGAGCGCGATTCTGGGCCCCCCCACCACCTTGATCCCCGCCTTGTCCAGTTGTGGGGCAGCCGTTGACCGTTCCCCTTGTTCCTTGCCTCCCCGGTTCCTGGGCAGTACCCCTGGGAGTCCCGGATCCACGTCGTGGCTTGTGTGTGGACGGACTATGTTCGGGGCTGCGTGCAGCCCAGGGCCTGGTGAGCCTGGCGTCCCCAGGGCTGCTCCTCTGTGGGCCAATCTGAGGCCCTGGCCATGGGCGCTGCCTCTTCCCCAGCGGTGCAGGGTGAGCCCTTGCACGCGGCTGGCCCGGGTTCGAGCCCCGGCATCCCAGATGGTCTCCCAGACCCCGTCAGGCGTGATCCCCGAGTGCAGAGCCAGGAGTGAGCCCTGAGAACCATCGGGGTGTGGTGGCTCAAACATCAAAATGGAAAAAAAAAAAGACAAACGCAGAGTGCTCCCCAGAGCTGGGTGGTCGGTCCCGGGGACGGAGCGTCACGGGGCCTGGGGGGACCTAGGGGGTTGGGGGGAGCAAGCCTGCTGGGCTGTGGTGGGCTCCCCTGGCCCTGGCCCCTTGGCACCTGTACCCGGTGCTGTGACCACATCACGGGCTGCCTTGGATGCTCCCAGGGAACCTCTGGGTGGCTTCTGACCTGGCCATCCAGGATGACCTGTCGGGCGCTGGCGGCCAGCCTGCTAGGGGACTCCTACCAGGAGGCCAGGTGGGGTGGGCGCCCCAGGGGGGAGGGAGGCAGCCCCTAGAGGTGACAGGGTGACATTGGACAGGGCCTCTCCCCGGAGGTGTGTGTCCTCTGGGGCAGCTGCCTGGTCCTAGGTTATGGGTTCAGTAGTCAGATGGCCAGGAGGTTCATCTCTGTTGGCCCCAGACCCCATGACCCCATGACCCCAGGAGTCACCTCTTTGGTGGCTGGAGACTCGGGTGGGGGGGCACTTGGCCGGCACCACCTTGTCCCCGAGCCCACCATGGTGGGGACCTACCAGAGACACTGCTCAAGGCCTGCCCGAGTCCCTGGCTGTGCCTGGAGCTGCTGTGTGACCTCAGCCAGGCCAGTCCCCTCTCTGGGCAGCTTCCTTTCCAAACCACCTGTGATTGTGGCACTGGGTCACGGCGTGTCTTCCTGTCTGTTGGTGCGATGAGTGACCCCTGCTGGCACCGCCCTGCCCTGCCGTTGCCTGTGGACTCGCTGGAGGTGTTTCTCCCCTGGGCCCACCTGGCCCAGCTCTCGCTGTGATGAACTCTGGGCTGGTGCCAGACCAGGGGTTCCTGGCTGGCTGGGCCAGGTTCCTGGGCCCCCGACCCCCCAGACCGCCCAGTCTCCCCCGCCCCCCCCCCCCCCCCCCGCAGGCCCAGCCCAGCTCGGGCTTATCTGGGGGCCCCGCCCCGCTGGACTCTGGCCTCTCCCACCCAGGAAACAGCACCCAGAGGACTTGCAGGGGAACGCCTGAGAGGCCACCCCCTGCCGCCCCGGGGTGGAGGCGGAGGTGCGGCTGTGCCCGAGAGCCCCCCTGTGGGGGAGACCTCAGCTGGTGTTCCCCCTCCCCAACCCTCTCTGGAGCCCCCTCCAGCGCGCCGCCCTGAGTCCGGTCCAAAGTTGGGACAGGAGATGGGGCGAGACAGCACCTGCGGGCGGGCGGGGGCAACCCCACCTTGGCGAGGGAAGCAGCGCCCAGGAAAGGGTTAACCGCCAGCCCTGCCGCCGTGAGGGAGGGGACTGGGCTGGACCATTTTCCTCTCTGCCGCCCGCCGCTGTCTCCACCTCGGGCTTTCCTGAATGGTTCTGCCGTCCCGGGGCGGGGAGGGAAGGGAAGGGAAGGAAGAAGGGAGGGCGGAGGGCGGGAGGGAGGGTGGGAGGGAGGGCGGGAGGGGTGTGGAAAGGGAAAGGGAAGAGAAGAACGCGGCAGGCAGCCGGGGAAAGAGAGAGAGAGAGAGAGAGAGAGAGAGAGAGAGAGAGAGAGAGAGAGATGTCACCGCCGCCGCCTCCTCCCGCCTGCAGGTGCCGGGCAGGGCAGGTGCGGGGACAATGCTGAGCTGACGGCCGCCCCGACGGTGGGACCTGGGACCCGGACCGACGGGATCGCGAACAGGTGATCGCAGGCGCTGGAAGCCCGGGCTGCCACCACCACCACCTCCACTGTCGCTGCTGCCACCGCCGCCTCCAGCGGGCGTCCTCCTTCCCCACGCGCCCCCCGACTCCGGGGAGCGCTGCCGCCGACCATGGCGACCAATTTCAACGACATCGTCAAGCAGGGCTACGTGCGGATGAAGAGCAGGAAGCTGGGGGTGAGCGCCTCCCCTCCCCAGGGCTGGTCCCCGGGCATGCGACGACGACGCCCGATGCCACGATGCCACGGCTGCCACTGCCGCCGCCGCTGTGCGCCTGCCCCATGGGGGGCGGCCTGGCATGTGCCCGTGCCCCCCGGCAGTGCTGGCCGGCGTCCCTGCCGCTGGTGGCAGCGGTGGTGGTGGTGGCAGCGAGCGACGGGCAGGCGGCGCCCGCCTGGCTATTGTTGAAGTTGTAGCTGCCGCTGGAGCAGGGCGCCAGCTTCTCCCCCCCTCCCCGCCCCTCCCACCCGTGTCCCCCCATTCGGGCCCCCACTCCTGCCGCTGGAAAGTGCAGCCCCCCACACTGCCCCCATTAGTGCATGCAGGTCTTTCTTTGCTGGGGAAATGCGGGCATGGGAGAGGGGCTGGGTGGCGGGGGGGGGGGTACCCCAGGCCGGTGGGAATCAGGTCTGGGGGTGAGGGTCCCCTGCTCTGGGCCAAGGCAGCGTTCCTCCAAGTTGTGGGGGGTGTCCTGCAGCTGGGTGGGTGGGGAGGGTGCAGGGGCCCCGAGGATACCCCCAGCCCCCTGGGGAGGCAGGAGCAGGGCTTCATGTTCTTGGTGAGGGGGCCTGGCCGCTGCCCCACCCCGAGGAAAGAGAGCCTGGTGAGCTGGGGTTCTGGGGGGGGCTTCCTTCCTCCCCTCCGCCACCACTCCCTGGGCCGAGGGGGCTCCGATACCAGGCCTGCCTCAGTGCCAGCCAGGGAGGGCACCCTGAGAGGACCCTCCTGCACCCTGTGGGTCTCCCTGCTGCCGGTACTGAGCTGTGGGGTGGTGTTTGGCGTGTCTGAGAGTGGGGGGCTTGCAGCCCAGCTGTGGGCGCCTGCCCGGGAGCCTGGGTCTTGCCCTGAGAGAAGGACGGAGCCCCCCTAGAGCAGAGAGCAGAACCTGGCCCAGGGGCCAGCACCCACCGGCTACCCTTGCTAGCAAGGCACCTCAGTTCTCTGCAGGAGGAACCCGGTACCCCTCGGGGGCATGGCGGGGCGGGGAGGCTGTGATGGGGCAAGGCCCCCCGGGGTGCCCCCACACCCTCACAACCTACAGCTTCTTGGCCACTGAGGGGACGGGCAGCTCTGGGAGAGTGGGGCGACCCTCCCACCTGGCAGGCCTGTGGCAGTGAGGGCGTGTGACAGTGAGTATGTGGCAGGAACTGTGTGAGTATGTGACAGGAGCTGGCAATGTGTGACAGTGAGAGTGACAGTGTATGTGACAGGAACTGGCAGTGTGTGTGGCATTGTGGGACTGTGTGACAGTGTGTGGCAGTACCTGACGGGGTGATGGTGTGTGGTAGTACCTGACAGGGTGACAATGTAGTACCTGACAGGGTGACAGTGTGTGGTTAGTACCTGACAGGGTGGCAGTGGTTATTTGACAGGGTGACGGTGTGTGGTAGTACTTGACAGAGTGACAGTGTAGTACCTGACAGGGTGACAGTGTAGTACCTGTCAGGGTGACAGTGTGTGGCTCTGTCTGACAGGGTGACAGTGTGTGGTAGTGCCTGAAAGGATGACAGTATAGTACCTGACAGGGTGACGGTGTGTGGCAGTTTCTGACAGGGTGACAGTGTGTGGCAGTGTTTCTGAAGCTTTGATTAAAGACTGTGGGAAGTGGAAAGGGGGATTCTTGAGTGATAACTCCCTGGGGTGGTGTGTGCACACGTGTGTGTGTGTGTGTGTGTGTGTGATGACCTGGAACCAGGCCACCAGGGCACTCCCAGCCTTCAGGCCTTCTGCCATGGGAAATGAAGGATGAGTGGAGTCCAGCCTGGCGGGGCCATCTGTCCATCTGTCCGTGCCTCATTCCATCCGTCTTTCCCTCCACCCGTGTCCCTGCTCTCCCTCACTCCCCCCTCCCTCCCTCTCTCCAGTTCATGGGGGCCCCAGGGTGTGGGTGAGGATTCTGAGGTGACAGTCCCAGTGTGTTGAGGGGGGTCGAGGAGGGGCGTGCCGGGGTCCTGGCACACGGGAAGACATGCCCGCGGGCTGAGTGACTTGAGGGAACTGAACTGGCACCTCTGGGTCCCTCTGGGCTGCCAGAGATTTGTCAGAGCAGGACTGGGAGGGGTTTGGGGTCTTGGGCGGTGGCCCCGAGACTGCCCGCGTGCCCTCTGCCCTGCTGATGGCTGCAGGGGAGCGCGGGGTCCCTGGAGGGGGGCTGTGCGGCTGCAGGCCCAGGTGTGGGGGAGGGTTGCCCGTCGGGAGGGGGAGGTCAGTCAGATGCCAGTGTGCCCCTTAAGCCCTGGAGAATGAATGGCTGCCCCTGCCCGTCCCCTTGGGGGAACCCATGAAGCCTTCGTGAATTGGGGTGAGTCTAGTGCCCCCATTGGGGTGGGTCTGGTAACCCCAGCTTCTTGGCTCCTCCCTTCTGTTTTTTTTTTTTTTTGGTCTACACTCTGTAGACCATGAGTGGGCCATGGCTGGTGGTGCTCATGGCTCTGGGATTACTACTGACTGGGCTTAGGGAACCATTTGGGGTAGGGAGGGATTGAACCCGGGTGGGCCCTGTGCAAGGCAAAATGCCCTCCCTGCTGTCCTATCACTCCCTTGTATCTTAGAGAATTTCTGTTATTTATTTATTGATTGATTGATTTTTGCTTTTTGGGTCACACCCAGCAATGCACAGGGGTTACTCCTGGCTCTGCACTCAGGAATTACTCCTGGCGGTGCTCAGGGGACCTGGGTCGGCTGCGTGCAAGGCAAACGCCCTACCCGCTGTGCTATCTCTCCAGCCTCTTCTTAGAGAATTTCTGGCCTAGGATGGGATGGGGAAGCCCCCTGGGACCCTAAACACCAGCGGGGTGCGATGGAGAGAATGGAGAGGTGTTTATGAGAGCTCCCGGAGACCAGAGGGCTCCCCCAGCCTAGCACCCACCCAGCGTGGAGAGCAGGGCTGTGGGCACGCAGCCCCTGGATGCTGCCCCAGGGCGGCAGGCCCCCAGGTCGCAGGGCGGTACTCAGGCACCTGGACAGCTGCTCTTATGTATTGTATTTTAGTTTTAGGTCTGGGGACCATGGCTGGTGGTGCTCATGGTCATGACTGTGACTCCTGGCTCTGTACCCAGGGATCGCTCCTGGTGGGGCTCGGAGATCGAACACGGATCAGCTGCATTCAAGGCCAGCCTTGTCTTGCCCGCTGTATTCCTTCTTCTTTTTTTTTTGGGGGTCACACCCAGCGATGCTGCTCAGGGGTTATTCCTGGCTCTGCACTCAGGAATTACTCCTGGCGGTGCTTGGGGGACCATATGGGATGCCGGGGACCGAACCCAGGTTGGGCAAATGCCCTACCCACTATGCTATCGCTCCGGCCCCCTGTATTCCTTCTTCAACCCTATTTTGTTTTTGTACTTTTGGGTTTTGGGGTCACAGCTGGCAGTGATTAGGGGGTCACTCCTAGTTGTGCCGTGGGGGCCATTCATTCTCTGCTGGGAATTGAACGGGGGTTGGCCACATCCAAGGTGTGCGCACGCCTTAGCCCCTGTAGTCCCTCTGTGATCCCTTTATTTTATTTTTAAAGCCCGTGTCAGGGACTGGAACAACAGTCCAGCAACCCGTGTTCTATCTCTGGCACCCCATATGGTCCCCGGAGCCCCGCCAGGAGTCATTCCTGAGTCCAGAGCTGGGAGTAAGCCTTGAGCATCCCTGGGTGTGGCCTCAAACAAAACAAACAAAAACCTTGGGGCCTAGTCCTGCCTCAGTACTTGGCTGATGCTCCTGGTGAGGCTTGGGGGGAATCATCCGTTCAGGATCAGACCCCAACTTCCTGCGTGCAAAGCGTGTGCTCTAGCCCCTGGAGAGCCTACTTTAAAGAGCCTCCCTACACTGATTAGTTCCTTAACTTTTGGGTGCCTCAGTTTGACCTCTCTGTCCACTGGGGATGGGGACGCCCCTCTCACCCCCAGCTTCCCATCCCCGTCAAGTGTCGGTCTGGACTGGGGTTCCAGGAGAGGCAGTGTGGCACTGCCCCCTGGCGGTTGATGGGGGAAACTGCAGGGCCGAGCTGGCGGGTGGGAGTGGCCCAGGTAGGCTTGATTCCGGTCATCCTGTGGTCCTGCAGATCTACCGGAGGTGCTGGCTGGTGTTCCGGAAATCCTCCAGCAAGGGGCCCCAGCGGCTGGAGAAGTATCCCGATGAGAAGTCGGTGTGCCTCCGAGGCTGCCCCAAGGTGAGGGGGCCTGGGCCCTATTGAGAGCCCGCCCGGGGCCGAGGGCACCCTTCTGGGGTGGCTGTGGTTCGAGCCGGGGGAGTGAGACACTCCTGCCTGGCTGAGTCCCCTGTGGTTGCCGCCCCAGGTGACAGAGATCAGCAACGTCAAGTGCGTCACACGGCTCCCCAAGGAGACCAAGAGGCAGGCGGTGGCCATCATATTCACCGATGACTCTGCCCGGACCTTCACCTGCGACTCAGGTGAGGGGTTGCCCCGGGCCGCAGGTGTGGTGGGGTGGGGGGGTGAGGCTGAAGAGAGCAGACAGACCCCCAGCATATAGTGCAGGTGGGGTGGGATGGGTGGACCGTGGAGGAGGCCCCCAGCGTGCCTTGGGGGTGGGTGAAGGGGTGGGGGTGTGAGCAGACCCCCAGCATGTCTGTGTTCTCCAGAGCTGGAAGCTGAGGAGTGGTACAAGACGCTGTCCGTGGAGTGTCTGGGGTCGAGGCTCAATGACATCAGCCTGGGGGAGCCGGACCTCCTGGCCCCGGGGGTGCAGTGTGAACAGACAGGTGAGACCAAGCGCCAGACAAGTGGGTTGGGGGGAGGGCCCTCCTGCCACCCCCCCCGCCCACACGCCTGGTTCCCCCCCCCCCCACTCCAGATCGCTTCAATGTCTTCCTGCTGCCCTGCCCCAACCTGGACGTGTACGGCGAGTGCAAGCTGCAGATCACGCACGAGAACATCTACCTCTGGGACATCCACAACCCCCGCGTGAAGCTCGTCTCGTGGCCCCTCTGCTCGCTGCGCCGCTACGGCCGGGACGCCACCCGCTTCACCTTCGAGGCAGGCCGGTAGGTGCCCCTGGGCCGCCTGTGCGGGTCAGCCCTGTGCCCCGTGCCTAGAGGGGGTGTGCGTGCGTGCGGTGGGGTCCCAAGGTCCCGGGAGGGAACCGTCGTGCCTGCCCCGGGCAGGCGGGTTTGCTGGATGTCACAACTGCCCAGGGCTCTGGTCAGAGGCTGCCACTGCGTTTACCAGCTGTGTTTAGACCTGGGTCTCGGGATTTAGAATAGGGGCTTGGGAAAGTACCGTGGGACAGAACATCTGTGAGCATGGTGAGGGGAGGCACTCCAACTTGAACTCCGCAGCTGACGTGCCTGGATTTAAATTCTGTCGAATCCTGGAGCTGGAGCGATAGCACAGCGCTCGGTAGGGCTTTTGCCTTGCACGTAGCCGACCCGGGTTCGATTCCCAGCATCCCATATGGTCCCCCGAGCGCCGCCAGGAGTAATTCCTGAGTGCATGAGCCAGGGGTAACCCCTGAGCACCCCTTTTTTGGGTGTGACCCAAAAAGAAAAAAAAAGTTCTGTCTAGTCCCTCATGACCTTGGCCACCGCCCGCTGCCTGCCGGCCTCAGGTTCCTCGCCCGTGAATGGTTTGAGGACACCCACGGTGGGAAGCTGGTGTCGCGCAGGCCGGCGGGCAGGGCGGGACCCCGGAGCGGAACCCCAAACCCCAGACCGTCTGTCTGGCACACGAGGCCCCCCCGCAAGACAGCCCTGCTTGTGCTCCCGGGGGCCCAGGGTGCGTGTGGCCTGCTGGGCGGGGGACTCACTCCTGACGGGCCCCATCTGCAGGATGTGCGACGCGGGGGAAGGACTCTACACCTTCCAGACGCAGGAGGGCGAGCAGATCTACCAGCGGGTGCACGGGGCCACGCTGGCCATCGCCGAGCAGCACAAGCGCGTCCTGCTGGAGATGGAGAAGAACGTGCGGGTGAGGTGGTGGTGGTGGTGGGGGTCCGGGCGCATGCACTGCGAGCCAGGGCGGGAGGCAGGGGGCGGCCCCGGGCTCACCGACGGCCCTTCCTCTGCCCCCCAGCTGCTGAACAAGGGCACGGAGCACTACTCCTATCCCTGCACGCCCACCACCATGCTCCCCCGCAGTGCCTATTGGCACCACATCACTGGCTCCCAGAACATCAGCGAGACCGCCAGCTATGCCGGTGAGTGGCTGCCGGGGGCCCCTGCCTGCCTGCCTGCCTGCCTGGCCTCCCCCCGACCCCGAGGTTCCCTGGCAGGTGGGACTGAGCGGCCGGGGCACCCTCAACACTGGCCTTGCGTCTATGTCCACAGGTGAGGGCTACCCCGGGGCAGCCCAGGCCAGCTCAGAGACGGACCTCCTCAACAGATTCATCCTGCTGAAGCCAAAGTCCAGCCCCGGGGACAGCAGCGAGGCCCAGACCCCGGCCCAGTGACGGCGGGGTGGGGGAATGCCAGAGACAGACTGTGGACGGCCCCGGGGGGCTGGCGCCGAGAGCCCGGAGAAGGGGAGCAGGCCTGTCCCTTCCTCACCCCCGAGAGTGAGGCCGGACCGAGGCCAAGGGCTGGCCCCGCCGCCCGAGCATGTGAGGGGCTGGAGCTACCGTGGGACTCTACTGTTGATGATTTAATATATACAGCTTATGATATATTCTCTATTAACGAACTCCCCCTCCCCCCACAAACCGCTTCCAATCCCGGGACCAGGCCGCAGCCCAGGCTGTGCGGGAATGGAGGGGACCCTTTTTTGTCCTGTCCTCCGTGGCCTGGTCCACCTGCTGCCTGCCTGGTCCGAGGAGTGAGACAATCTGAACTCGAGGCCGCCCCCATGGTCAGTCCCCAAGCAGCCTGGTGGCCGCGGCGGCGAGGTGGCTTCTCGGTCCCGGGCCTGGCGTGGCACTGGAAGGATCCGAACTTACACCGCAGCTACCCGGCAGCCTTGCGCTCGGGAGTTTTAAGCAGAGGTGCCATCGGGCTGGTACCTCGGGGCGGGGGAAAACCCTTTGGGTTTTTAAAATGTCATTTCTGCCCGGGGCCCCTTCCTGCGTGGCAGGCGGGGAGGCCCCGGGGGAGGGGGCCACAGGCTCTCCGAGCTCTTCCCTGCACGGGGTAGGCTGTGGCGGGCGGCGCGGGGCGTCTGGCCCACCTCCCGCCGGCCACGAGCACTCTGGACCCTCCGTGTCCTCCCCATGGTGCTGAGGCTCACTGCTGAAATGCAATTAAAGCAATTGATTTTCTAGTGCTGGTATTTACTGACTACCGTGCAGAAGGGCTATCTTTCTATCACATTGAACCTTTGGTTGCGTGTTTTTTTTTTTTTGTACTACTTTAGGGTTCTGACTTGTGGGAGCAAACCTTGTTGTAAATAACCACTGTTCAAGTTGTGGCAGGAGAAAGCCAGAGGCCCCCTCCTCCCCCACAGAGCCCTGATGCCAGGGAGGCCCCCCCGCCTCCCCCAGGCTCAGCTCCTCACGGTGACCCTGGGCCTGGTCACCCCACCCAGGAACAAGCTCGCCTGGGGGAGGGCGAGGCCGGGCTGACTGGCCGGCCGAGCGGCACGCTGACGCATGAAGGAGATTATGTTGTGCTCTTTTATTGCCAAAAAATAAAAACTTTGAAAAAGATGACGACTCCTGTTCTCAGTAAGTGGCCCTTCCGCGCTGTTCCGGACCTCCCGGCCTCTCCTCTGGGTCAGCTCAGACTTCTGGGTTTGGGGCGTCACGAAGGCATCCCTTCCCGCCACCCCCCTTCAAGTTGGGCTGCTGGTGGAGCCTGTCCCCACTGCCAGAGCACAAAAGCGGGTTTATTGGAGGAAGGCTGCCGGGGGCAGGTGGGCTCTAACACCATTCTTCGAGGGGGGGGGTCTCAGATTTGGGGTTCGAAGAAGGTGGCATGTGCAAGGAGCAGACGGCTCAGAGTTGGTCTGAACGGGGTCTGAGCCCTCCATTGACGGGGGAAACCGAGTCTAGCCACACGTGAGAAGCCTTCTCCTCGGGGAAAGGGGTTGGAGATGGTGAAGGGGACTGGGAGAGGGAGAGTCCCTCGGGACTCTGGCTGGTTGCCAGTGGCCCGTCGCAGGAGCCCCGAGACCCTCTCTCTGGGGGAGGAGGTGGGGGGCCGGCGGCTAGTTTATGGTGAGGACGTCGCTCTGGATCTCGTGGCTCAGCTGTGTCTGGAGGTCACTCAGCTTCTTCTTCAGCCCGGACAGGGCCGAGAGGACAATGGTCTCGGGGCGCAGAGAGCCACACGACTCCACGTTGTAGTAGAAGCTGGGAGGTGGAGAGTCGGGAGAGCCCTCAGGGGGCAGGCTGGCCGGGGACCCCCCCTCGCCTGCGCCTGACCTCGCCCCAGAATCAACCTCCGACCTGACACATGGGGTCCCCCATTGCTCTCTGGGGACCAGAAGGGCGACACCCCAACACCCACCGGGAAAGGAGCAGGATGCTGGCCGCCCTCCACCCACGAAGTCCCCTCTTGGGGGGCTGGATCTTTCAGTCTCCCCTGTGGAGACTTGTGGGTGGGGAAGAGTTTGGGCCACACCCAGCGGCTTATTCCTTCGCTCCTGGCAGGGCTTGAGGAACTGAACCCAAGGCAGCCAAGTGCCGACAGGGGCCCTTCCCACCACACTCTCTCCCCCCCCCCGCCCACAGGGTTGTAGATTTTCACAAAACGGCTTCGACCTTAGGGCCGGAGCGAGAGCACAGCGGGGAGGGCACTTGCCCTGCACACAGCTGACCTGGGGTGGATCCCCACCACCTCATACGGTCCCCTGAAGCCTGCCAGGAGTGATCCCTGAGCAAGAGAGCCAGGAGTAAGCCCTGATCTGAGCCGGGTAGGGCCCGAACAAAAACGAACTGTTTCGACTACAGCCCCTTTTCCTCAGTGACAGCAGCCGGCAGCTCCTGTCTCTGGCCCAGGGTGCGAGGAGAGGGTGTCAGGAGCCCCGCTTACCGCTCTGGCTTGCCGTTGGGGTCGTAGGGGGCCTGCGACTCGTCCTCATCCAGCTCTGAGTACTCGCTCTTGGGCCTGCAGCCGGACAACCGTGTCAGGGAGGGCGTGGAGGGGACCGTGTGCCCAGTGGGCCAGCTGGCTGCAGCCTGGTCACAAGGGCCCCCAACAATCCCCCCCCGGTACCTACCATTCCTCGGGCTTGGGGTACACGGTGTGCCGCAAGGCGTTGTCGGGGTCGTACTCGAAGGCCACCCCGGCGGTCGGGTTCCACTTGGCATGCTCCTTGCCGAAGCCCTTCTTGGCATAGGCGCGGAGGCGCAGCTCCTGGCCCTTTCGCAGCTTGACGATGAGGATGTCTGGGGGGGGGGGGGGGCCCTCGGTCACCACCTCCCTGTCCCCTGGACACCAAGGGTCCGAGGCCAGCCATCTCCCCCGGGCACCGGCGCCCACAGGCCACGACTCCTTACCATCCTGCTCCACGTAGTCGTTGGGGTCATTGTCCCGGTTCCGGGATGTCACCTGCAGGTGCCGGAGCAGAGGGACCGTCAGCAGCCCCCCGCGGCCGCTCCCCGCGGTCCCCACAGTCTGCGCTCGCTGGAGGCTGGGCTCTGGCAGTGCCCGGGCCCCGGCTGGCCAGGCAGTTCAGTGAGAGGCGCCTGCCTCTCTCCGCAGCAGGAATGACACCCACTGGGCCCGAAACAGCAGGTTGCGTCCCACAGCTCCAACCTCCCAGCCCGAGATGGCCGCATCCCGCCCTCCGCACATCCCTGCCTTTCCCGGGTCGAGACAGCTACATGGATGTCACCTCCCTGTCCTCCTGGGGATCCGAGACAGCCAAACGGATGTCACCTCCCCGCCTTCCCCGGGATCCGAGACAGCCCATGGATGTCACCTCCTCGCCTTCCCCAGGATCCGAGACGGCTCACGGATGTCACCTCCCCAACCTCCCCAGGCCTGGGACAACTGCATGGATGTCACCTCCCCGCCTGGCCGTGGGTGCACACTGACCGGGATGACGCGGGGGCTGTTGGAGATGAGGTCCCGGGACGTGACGTGGCGCGTCTGGTCCTCGTTGCAGCGCACGTCCAGCGTGAACTCCACGGAGCACTCAGGGCAGAACTCCTCGCACGTGCAGTCCTGCGGCAGGGAGCCCAGCCCCCCCAGGCTGACCATATGCCACAGGGTGGCACCCGGCTGCCACCCCCTCCCAGTGCCCCCGGGGCTCTCCCGCAGAGACTCAGGGGAGGGTGACCTAGGACGCTTTCTCGCTGCCAGGTGTGGCCCCTCCCCCTCCCCCAAGTCACACACAGAAACGGGTGCCCAGGAGCCCGGGATGGGCAGCTGGGTAGCAAAGCGCCGGCCCTGCCAGCATGAGGTCTGAGTTGGCCTCCCGGCAGCACTGCCCAAGAGATTGCTGGCCTGTCCTGGTTTAGTGCAGGCACCTACCACTATACAGGGCCCGAGCACAGTGGCCCCGTGGGTGGCCACCAAGTGGGCAGTGCCTCTGGTCACAACATCAACAGGAAGGGAAGGAAAGGAAAGACCTGGTTATAAGACTTAAAAAAAAATCAACTTAAGGGGCTGGAGGGATAGGACAGCGGGGAGGGCGCTTGCCTTGCGAGGGGACTGACCCAGTTCAATCCCCGCCACCCCACCTGCCCCGGAGCACGGCCAGTAGTGAGTCTTGAGTATAGAGATAGGAGTAAGCAGTAAGCTCTGAGAATGGCCAAGGATGGCCCCAACACAAAACAAAATGATTAAAAAGGAAATTAAGAAATGAGCATAGGGGCTGGAGCAGTAGCACAGGCGGGTAGGGCGTTTGCCTTGCACGTGGCCGACCCAGGTTCGATTCCCAGCATCCCATATGGTCCCCCAACCACTGCCAGGAGTGATTCCTGAGTGCATGAGCCAGGGTGTGACCCAAAAAGAAAAAAAAGAGAGAGAGAATTGTGCTTAATCTGGGGGCTTCCCTACCTTATTCTCCCCTTCCTTTCTGTTTCCCAAAATAAATAAATAAAACCAACAATCTGGAGCCAGAGAGACAAGGTGCTCGGCTTGTCTGTGGCCCACCTGAGTTGGACCCCCAGCTCCACCAGGAGTGACCCCTGCATGTTGAGCCAGGAGTGAGCCCTGAGCACCAAAGGCTGTGCCCCCCCAAACAAAAACCCCGCTGTCCCTGCACATTCCATGCACTTACGGGCCAGGCGGCCGCAGCCTTAGGAACCCGGAGGGTCACTGGGAAAGGTGGTGCCGGCCATGGCCTGTGTTGGTGCTGCTGGGGGTCACGCCTAGTGGCACAGCATCTGCAGTCCTGGAGCTGCACACGGGGGGGGGGGGCACCCCTCTCCCCTCCAGGGGCTATTTTTTTTAATTTTTTCTTTTAAAGTAGGAATATTGCTATTTATTCAGCCACTGATTATTGCTGATTGAATGGGCATGAACTCTACCTTACTTTTTTTTTTCCTTTTTTATAAATTTATTTATTGAATCATCATGAGAGCAGTTACAAAGCTTTTGGGTTTTGTCTCAGTCATGCAATGATGAAACACCCGTCCCTTCATCAGTGCCTGTTTCCCACCCCCAACAACCCCAGTAAACCCCCATCCCACACCCTCCCCCTACCTGTGGGGCAGATGATTTCCACATTACTCTCTCTCTACTTTGATTACATTCAATATTTTGACACTAGACCCACTATTATTATTTGGGATTTTACCCCAACACTCAGATCTGCCGAAAAGGGAAGAGTAGACAATTTGTTTTCTATTGCTGGTTATGAATAACATATGATGCAACGGCCCTAGCTGGCCAGTGTGCAGGCCACCCCCCCCCCCCCCCCCCCGCCCGGCCAAATGGGAAGGCAACTCAGATCCCCCTGCAAGCGAATCACACAGAAGAGAAACAGAAGGGCCGGAACTTGGTTCTCTGAGCACCAGCTGTGTGGCCCCCAAACCAAACTATGACACAGAACACAGGCCTGGCGGGGTTGGCCCGAATCACAAGAGACTTATGAGGCAGAAGGCGAGACTCCGGGCCGGGCCTCAGACCAACAGAGAGACCAGGTATGGCAACTAGAACCCTCAACACGGGCTTCCCAGGGGAACCACAGACCCCTGCTGGATTTCTTAGGCACGGGGGATGAGGGGTGAAGCTGGGGGCAGGGGGGATTCTTTTTTTTTTTTCTTTTTGGGTCATACCCAGTGATACACAGGGGTTACTCCTGGCTCATGCACTCAGGAATTACCCCTGGTGGTGCTCGGGGGACCATATGGGATTCTGGGAATTGAACCTGGGTCAGACATATGCAAAGCAAATGCCCTACCCGCTGTGCTATCAGTCCAGCCCCGGGGTTCCTATTGATTCAGGATGCACAGGCTCACGGAGTGATGGACGAAGGATCACCCTATCAGCAACATTCTCAAGTCGCTCAGCAAAACCAATCACATCTCCACAGTCTTTCTAGGAGATTGTGAAGAGGAAACTCCCCCGAGAACAGAAGCCCCTCACCCTACCCTACGCGCCCCATGACACTACTTACTCGGGAGTATTGCAACTTGTCCACGATGTCATCACTGGTGAGTGGGATCAAGCCTGGAAGACAACGAGAAACTCCTGGACGTAGGTCAAACCAAGCACCCTTGGGAGTAAGGCGGCCTCCTGTGCTGACCTCAGGCACAGCCGTCTGCGGCCACTCTCCCGGTGCCCCCGTGACCAACCTCCCCGTGTCCAGCACTCACCCAGCCGGTGAGCGATGAACTCGTCGTGGAGGACAGAGGAATTGGCATCGATCTGAACCCAGTCGATGGCTAGAAGATAAAGAGACGTGAACAGTTCAGTCCTCGAATTCATCTCACACACGGCACTGTGTCCTCTGGGCAGGGCCGGGCTGCCGGAGCCTCTGCCATCCACAGCTGCAGAGACCCAGCCCCGCTCTCTAAGCCTTCACAGGCACGTAGAAAAATGCCCCTCGGAGAACATTGTGGGGGGGGGGGGGGAGGGAGGGCTGCAGCAGCTTCTTCCAGCTGAAGACGCCCATGACAAGCACTTGAAGCTGGTACTCGTGCCAACGCAGGGCAGAGAGCAGGAAGCGTGAGGATGCGACCCACGCTCCCCTACTACAGGAGTGTAAAGGTAAAGGTAAAGGCCCTCCCGTTGATCGTCGATTTGCTCGAGCGGGCCCAGTAACGTCTCCATTGGAGACTTTTTGTTACTGTGTTTGGCATATCAAATACTCTCGGTAGCTTGCCGGGCTCTCCGAGAGGGGCGGAGGAATCGAACTCGGGTTGGCCATGTTGGCCGCTTGTAAGGCGAACGCCCTACCCGCTGTGCTATCACTCCAGCCCGCTACAGGAGTGTGGGGGGGACAAACTCCTTGGGCGATTTTAAGTCCCACAAGCCATACAGAAGGAACATAATCTTAGGGTTCGGAGCTTGTGGTCAAGTGACCCGATTTCATAAACGCTGGAAACAATTAATTGCCTTCCATGGGGCAAGGCAAACATAAAAGCCAGAGCACACCAGGAATGGGTTTGTAGAGGGGTAAGGACTCTATTCTCACACACACCTGCTCACAAAAAAGCCACATGGAATGCAAGTCAACCCATAAAACAGGGCCACGGACCCTAGGACAGCTGTCAGAAGAGGGTTAGACACAGCTCGGTGCCTCCGGGCTGGCTCTGTCTGTGCCAAGCTTCCTCCACTCCCTCACACCAAGTGAATCAAGGACAGCGAGACAAACTTCTATACACTGGGCCAAGCGTCGCTGCTTCTTTACATCCCTAATCAGTGTTATGTGCTGGGGTTGGGGTGGGGGTGGGGGGGAACAGTTAAACCAGGGTCGGCTGCATGCTGTGCAAATGGCTTAATCCTTGCACAATCTCTCCAGCCCTGCCTTGGCTTCCTGCCTGGCATCCCCGTCCTCGTCCCATCCCACAGTGGGTGCAGACCTTCTCCTGCACGGGTTCAAGTCCTTGCAGCCCCCAACACGCTGAGTGTTGTGGGCTGTACTGGTGACAGGACCACCCTCCCTTACAGATCAAAGATCCGCCAGCACGCGCTAAGGACACCTGATGGAGTCTGTCCTGTCCTATCTATACGGGTTGGCCGGGGATCCGACTCAAGGCCTTGTGCACGTAAGGCCTGTCCCCACTGACCCCAAGAGGGCAAAACTGTTGTTTTCTTAATGTCTTCTTGGTTTCTGGGCCGCACGTGGCGATGCTCAGGCATCACGCCTGGCTCTGCACTCAGGAATTACTCCTGGCTGCAGGGGCACCATATCGGATGCCGGGGTTGGAACCCAGGTTGGCTGCGTGCAAGGCAAGAGCTCTACCAGCTGTGCTGTCGTATTCTTACTGCGGTCTGGCGGGCAGCAGGTACTACGACCTGCAGAACTCGTACCAATTGCAGACGTTGTCATAAGTGGCGGCATTCAGACCCTGATGGTAGGGACTGCACTCTGAAACCCCACTCCCTCGCTGGACATTCCAGGCAGGACGTCGAGTGGGAAATTCCTGAGAACTGAGGCTGCCCGCTGGCCCACATTCGACTGGGTTCTAGGAGAACGCCCCTCGCTGACCAGAGACCAGAGCCATGCCCCGAGACGTGCAGAGATGCCCAGAGACCAGCCTGTGGGTGGCCCAGGCGCACAGCCCAGCCCAGTGAGGAACTGAGCAGCAGGACACCCGGGAGCTCGGCAGCCAAGTGCTCTGGGGGACCCACCCTCCTTTTCCCCCGGGGAGCAGCAGCTCGGCTCTGTTCTGTCTCTGCTACTAACCCACGAGCTGGGAAGGCTCAGAAACTCGGGTATGAGCCGAGGGTGCCAAACCCACGGTGGAGCTGGGTGCAGGGAATCTGGGCAGAAACCGGTGTGTGTCCCCCTCCCCCCCATCACCACAGCAGGTTTCTCTCCCACAATGCCCTTCACGGGGAGACGGCGGGGGTCCCCTCTCTGGGCGCTGGGCAGCCCCACACTCACTTCATCCTCGGTGTCACCCTGCTAATGATGGGCTGTGAGTGTCCGAAATGTCCCAGATCTGCAAAGGCAGCTCAGAACATCGCCCGTGCCCCGCAGAGGTATCGAGACCCCCCCACCCTTCCCCCCACACACACTAGGGGGCGGGAGTGAGGGCACAGCGTGTCAGGGCACTTGCTTTGCACACGGCCGAGGTGGGTTCGATCCCCGGGACCCCCTCTGGGAGGGTGCCCCAGGCACCTGCAGGAGGGACCCCTGAGCGCAGAGCCAGGAGTCCGCCCGGAGCACCGCTGGGGGTGACCCCCCAACACAGCCCACGGAAGGTGCCCCCCCCGCCCTCTGCTGTGGCCAGGGCCGCTTACCAATGATGGGCACCTCGGCGATGAAGACCCTGCGGATGGAGTTGGCCACCCTGCGGAGGGAGGGCAGCGGGTGAGCGCGCCCCGGGCCCCGCCCCGCCCCCGCCCGCGCGCGCCTCGGCCTTACGCCAGGTCCGTGTTCTCGATGATGAACTTGACGTTCTCGTCCGTGAGCTCCGTGATGCGCACGGTGGGCTGGTTGGCGTACGGCATCGCGCCCGCCGCCCCGCAGCAGCGCCCCGCCGCCGCGCCGCCGCCGGAAGTGGCCCGCGCCGCCCCGCCCCGCCGCTTCCGGGGCGGGAAGACGCGCCCGCAGCGCCACCTGCTGCCCGGAGGGCGGCACCGCCGCGTGCCCGCCCGCCGGTTAAAAAGGCCGCGTGGGGGCGGGGCCCAGGACGGTTGGTCTCAACCTTTTCAACGCTTACAGAATCCCCCAAGCAGAGAGAGAATTGTCCCGGGCACAGAATACTGTGGTACCTGAACGAAGTAGGGGCGGGGAGAAAGCTCAGGGCTGTGGGGCATGGTGGATCCCCCAAAGAAACTTGGGGGTTAGAGAGGTAGTACAACGGGTAGGGCGCTTGCCTTGCACGCGGCTGTCCCAGGTTTGATCCCTGGCATCCCATATGGTCCCTCCGGGAGTGATTTTTTTTTTCTTTTTGGGTCACACCTGGCGATGCACAGAGGTTACTCCTGGCTCTGCGCTCAGGAATTACCCCTGGCGGTGCTCAGAGGACCATATGGGATGCTGGGAATTGAACCCGGGTTGACCGCGTGCAAGGCAAACGCCCTATCCGCTGTGCTATTGCTCCAGGCCCCAGGAGTGATTCTTGAACACTGATCCAGGAGTAACCCCTGGGCATTGCTGGATATGGCGCCCAATTTTTTTTTAAAGGAAATTTGCTTATGGGAAAAGTATTTTTGGGCAGAATTTAAAATAATTTATAATTAACCCCCTTCCACTCCCAAATCTGGGACAGAAATGGGAGACATTAGACTTTTTTTTTTCCTCTCATAATTTTTTATTTTTATGGCTTTTTGGGTCACACCTGGCTCTGCACTCAGGAATTACCCCTGGCAGTGCTCAGGGGACCATATGGGATGCTGGGAATCGAACCTGGGTTGACCGCGTGCGAGCGAGGCAAACGACCTACCCACTGTGCTATTGCTCCAGCCCCTAATTCTTTTATTAATTCACCATGAGATAGTCACCGTCCTCCCATTGTTCATCGATTTGCTTGAGCGGGCCCAGTAACGTCTCCATTGTGAGACTTTGTTGTTACTGTGGCATATGAAACACATCACCGGTGGCTTGCCAGGCTTTGCTGTGCAGGCGAGATACTCTCAGTAGCTTGCTGGGCTCTCTGAGAGGGGCGGAGGAATTGAACTCGGGTCGGCCATGTTGGCTGGGTGCAAGGCAAACGCCCTACCCGCTGTGCTATCGCTCCAGCCCACCGTGAGATACAATAACAAAAATTTCATGTTTGAACTTCAATCATACGGTCATCAAACACCCATCCCTTCACGAGTGCACATTTTCCACCACCAAAATCTCCAGTATTCTCCCGCTCCCATCCCATACTTTCCCCTGCCTATGTGGCAGACAAGTTGCAAAGTATTCTTTTTCTACTTCAGTTATCTTTGATATTCTGAGACCACCACTCATCCCTGCTGAGAATATAATTGCTAGACAATGTGTTTTGTTATTTCTTGTTATGGATATAATATAATGTTGTGCGGCCGCAAGAGCGGCCACACACTCTAGAAATTCTAAGATTTTAATAATTAGGGTCTGAAGAAACTACTGCCACAAGTTGCTTGGGTCCAAGATTCCTGTGTGAGAGAGACTAGACTTTTTTTTTTTTTCTTTTTGGGTCACACCCGGCGATGCTCAGGGGTTACTCCTGCACTCAGGAATTACTCCTGGTGGTGCTCGAGGGACCATATGGGATGCTGGGAATCGAACCTGGGTCGGCCATGTTGGCTGCGTGCAAGGCAAACGCCCTACCCGCTGTGCTATCACTCCAGCCCCGAGACTAGACTTTTTAATGGCATATCTGCGCTTCTTAGTAGCTGTAGAGATAGCACAAAGGGCAGGGCACTTGCCTTGCATGTGGCAGACCCAGTTTCCACCTCTAGCATCTCATATGGTCTCCCAACACCATCAGGAGTGATTCCTGAGCATAGTGCCAGGAGTAAGCCCTGAGCAGCAGTGTGCCCACCCCCCACCCCCCAAAAAAAGCCAAAAAGAATTGCTAACCAAAGTTCAGAGATAGTACAGAGGGGAAAGATGTTTGTCTTGTATACGGCAGCCCTGGGTTTGACCCCCAGCACCCCTTATGATCTCCTGAGCACCTCAGGAGTGATTCCTGAGTAAGAACCAGGAACTCTTGGGCACCATCTGTGACCAGGAACAACCTTTGAGCACTGTCAGTATGAGAAACTGCCCCCCCCAATAAATTGCTAATGGTGCTTAAGATACAGCTCACACAGGAGCATGTGCTTTATATACAGGAGGCCCAGGTTTGATCTGGAACCCCCCTGGTGTGCCCAGTACCAGCCTGTGGTACTCCCCACCACCATCTCATAAGCAGCTGGGAAAATTCTGTGTGGACTAAATAAGGTGGCAGCTGCTCATATAGGGGCCCTAGAAATAGGACTTGGGCAGAAGGGGACTCAGAGGACATTGTTTTGGCAGGGAAGGGGACTCTTCCTGAGACAGAGAAGGGCATGACTATCCTGGCTCAGCCCATTAAGGTGTGCAGAGTGGGAGCTAGAAAGGACCAAACGGATGGGGATCAGAGGGCCTAGAGAGCACGTAGAAGGTAGGGTTCCTGCCTTGCACATGGCTGACTGGGGCTCAATCCCCAGCATCCCATCTGGTTCCGTGTCCTGCTAGGAGTGAGTCCTGAGCATTGCCAGATGTGGCCCCCCAGACCAAAAAACAAAGATGGGGACCAGAGATGGTCCAATGGGCTGGCCCACACGCTCTGCACGCCAGAGGCCTTGGTTCAATCTCTAGCACCATCTGGTTCTCCAAACCAGGAGCCATGTTCGAGCACTGAGCCAGGAGTAGCCCCGGAGAATCACTGGGAATGGGTCAAAAAGATGGACAGACATTCAGCCCCTGACTGCAGGGGCCTTGGGGTCATTAGCTGAAAAGAATCGGAGCTGCAGAGAGAAGCCACAAGGAGACCGCAAACTCCCACTGACCACTGTTTGGTCAGTTCAGGGAAGATGCAGCCAAGGGGAAGACAGATGCTATGAATCTTCCAACATGTTGAAGCCTGACCCCAATGGGGCAGTGTTTGGAGATAGGATGAGACCCTTGGGGTGGAAGTGGAGGGGCTGGTGCCTGCAGGAGGACAGGTGAGATGCCAGTGTGTGCTCTCGGCCTGGAGAGAACACAGGGCAGCTGTCAGACTCCCCTCCCCAGCCCAAGGCTGCCCAGCCTCCCACATCTGCTGCTGGGGCCACTCCAACTCTGATCTTGGGTTACAGCTGCACAAACCCCAACAGGAGTGACCTGGCTTGGCTGAGCCCAGTCGGCAGGGAGGCAGTGCAGAGGGTAAAAGCCAGAGCATGGACTGGCTGAAAACCTGGGTGAGGCCCAACAGCAGCAGCATAGGGAGCTAGTGGAGAGGGGCAGGCCACTGGGATGCATGCTTTACTGACGGGACCTAGGGACGCAGATGGTTGGAACTGCCCAGTGGCAGCTCAGATCCGGAGCTCAGGCTGCTGGCCCCAAGCCTTTCCACAACCTCACACCTCCCTGGACATCTGCCGTGGGCCAGAGTTGAAGTAATGACACGTACGTCAGGAAATGGCTGTAAGTGTTTATTACCCTGACTGAGTCCAGGTCGCCCAATAATCCGGCAATGCCAGCAGAATGGACTGAGCATCCAGGAACCTCCTCTGCTGGCTGAGCACCTGTGCCGGACTCTCGGGGCTGGGCTGGGGTGCCCGGGCAGTCTTTCAAGACGTGGGAGAGGCGAGGGTCCCCAGAAAGCCAGTGAAGTGAGCCTCTGCTGTGCTGGGCATGAGGAGCCCCAGAGTCTTCCTAGGAGGGTTCAGACATGAAGGAGGTGTCAGGGTCCTGTCGGGTTCTGTCACTGAAGGCGTTTTCCGTGGCACAACTGAAAGGCTGTAAGGCAAGAGAGGGCCGGGCCTGGCGTTTGGATTGTAGAAGGGGCCCAGTCCCAGTTCAGCGTCTCAGCAGCTGCCCAGGGGTGTTCAGGGGCAGTGGTGGAGGAGGCCGGTGTTCCCCTTTTCCGTGGGGGGCACCACGTGCTTTCCAAAGCCCCTTCTCGTGAATCCTCCGGGGCTCACTTCTGCGCACGCACACCGCCGGTCCTGCTCAGCGGCGCTGGTTGAGGCCCGACAAGTTCTTGAGCTGGGAAAACAGAAACTGAGTGTGCTGGGGTCCTGCCCTGCCCAGAGGCCTTCCCCGCTGGGGACATAGCAGGGTCGTGGCGGTGGGGGGCTGGGAGAGTCGGGGTGGAGTGGAGAGAACAGGCACAAGCACATCACTGCCCCTCAGAATCAAGGCTGTTTCTTCTTCTTCTTCTATTTTTTTTTTGTTTTTTTTTTCCAGTCACACCCAGCGATTACTTAGGGAATCATGCGGGATGCTGGGGATCAAACCAGGTCTGCTGCCTGCGTGCAAGGCATATACCTTACCCTCTGTACTATTGCTCCTGCCCCCAAGATGGGTTCTTGAAATGGTGAAACAGAAAGAGCTTGTGTTTTTAGGATAAAGAGACAGACTGAACTTCTGCTGTATTATTTTGTTGTTGTTTCTGTGTGGGAGCCACACCTGGTGGTGCTGGGCACCATACGTGATGGAGGGATGGTACCTGGGCCCACGTGCAAGCAAGGCAAGTGCCTTCCCTGCTGGACTGTCTCCCTGGCCCTGGTAAGTTAATTATTTGCTTCCTGGTTAAAGGCTCAGAGATTACTGGGGTAATGCATGCTTCGAGGCTCACAGGGCCCCAAGGGGCCGGGGCACTGGAGGAGATAGGGGTGTCACTGGAGACGGGGGTGGCAATGGGAGAGGGAAGGTGGGTGGGCCGTACTCACCGTCACTGCTGCGCCCATGAGTCCCTGCACCAGCGCCTCGCCCGTGGACTTGACCTAGGAGGAGTCAGTCAGGTTAGGAGGGAAGGGGACACTGTTGAAAGGATGGGTGCCCGAGCACTGAAGGCCTGAAACTCAACCACGTGTCACTTTGTAACCTGGTGGTGGTAATTCACAGTGATTCAGTTAAAAAGAAAAAAAAAAGTTCAATTTTTTTGGTTTTCAGGCCACACCTGGTGATGTTCAGGGCTGACTCCCAGCTCTACACTCAGAAATTACTTCTGGTGGGATTTCACATAACATGTGGGATACCTGGGATTGAACTGGGGTCATCCACGTGCAAGGCAAGTGCCCCATGTACTGTACTATCTCTCTGGCTCTCCTAAAAAATGCAGTTCAAAGGTGAGCTGGATGAGGAGCTTAGGAGCCCCAAGGAAGCCAGAAGGACCTGGGGACGAAGGACGGGTCTGGGGATGCACGGGCAAACAGGCCAAAGGCTGGTAGCAGGAAGCAGCAGCCAGATTATCTCCGGAGCCCTCAGGACTGTTGGCTGAGGACAGGGGGTCAGCTGTGGCCCTAGGAGGGCACTGTGCTCTCTCTGTCTGGAAGCCCCCCCCGCCCGTGGCTCTGAGCCCCAGCTACCTGCTTGGCGGTGTGGCCCATGTTCATGGCGTCGTTGATCCGGTTCTCCAGGAAGCGCCAAGTGTCCTGGAAGTCTGGGGACGAGTCCTGCATCATCACCAGCTCGGTGGTGTTGTAGATGCCAGCCAGCACGGCCCGCCGTGTATACCAGTTAAACTATGGACAGGACCACAGGAGCATGGTTACCATGACTGCTAGGGTCTGGGCTGGCCCAGCCCCCCACTAACCTGACCTCCCTCCCGACAGCCTGCCCTGTTGGGGCTCTGGGGACCCCACCATTGCTGGCCTTCCTGGACTCGCCTGGACTCAGAGACCAACAACACGTACTCGTGGGCCAGACCTCTCGGAGTTCAGAGCCCGTGGGTCAGGAACATGGATGGTGAATGAACAGGGGGCCTGGCTCAGAGCCCCCTTGTTTGAGAGCTATTGGGGCAGTCAGAAGGCTAAGGTCTGGGCTCCTGGTAAAGTGGGCTCGGAGGGGGCAGTGGCCAGATTAGGATGCCTGGTTTGAGGACTCCAACACTTGTGCCTGTCCCGGCAGGCTGGTCTCCAGAGCCCCCACTCAGCAGCACTGAGCTTTATTCCTTTCATTTCTTCACTTCTTAATTTCTCCGTTGGCAGTATATTCCCATGGGGGGGGTGGGAGTTGATTAAAGCACTTCGTTAGGAATGTGCTAGGAATAGCTTTCTGTCTCCCCACCCTGGATTCTAACAAAGCACCATCACATATTAATTTCTTTTATGACGGTCTCTCTCTTTTTTTATTTCCTACCAGAAATATGATAGCATTAACAAGTCAGATTCTTTCCTGGTGCCTGTTTAAAGGCTTATTGATCTTTCAGTAAAGCAGGTCAGATGGGCTGGTGGGGAGGGGCAGCTGCTTTTTAAAGCCTGGGGAATCTCCAAGGCATCTTTAAAAAAACAGTTCCTTGAAAGCCCTCGGAGGCTAGGGAGGAACCACGATGAAACAGCACTGCCATGGTGGGCGGGGGGGCCTGGAGCCCCGCAGGAAGCAAAGGACACCTCCAGCCTGAGTCTGTCCTCCCCAGACTGGAAGGACACAGCAGGGCTCCTCAGGGGACGGGGGAATCAAAGACATGACACCGACTTCTTAAGAAACACAGGCCCCACTCTGACCGGGGTCTCGGGGGTGGGAGGCACTCACGTCAGTGGACTGGTCGCCGGCGTAGTACCACATGTCGTCCACCATGCTGGTGAGCAGGCGTAGGCCTGGCGGGATGTTGTGTGGCAGCAAGAGGATGCTGAGAGCCTGAGGAGGGGACAGGGCAATGGCGGAGTGCCCGAGGCACCAAAGGGGTCTCCTGTGGGGACTCATCACTGCCACCCACTTGTGTGGGTGCCTGGTGATGGATCGACCCTGACTCTAGCCAAGAAGGGCTGGGGGGCACATTCTCCCCACAGCAGACCCAGTGAAATTCTTGGTCCCTGTCCCATGCACTTGGGAGACAGAGGTGAAGGCACACAGAAGGAAAGCCTGGCCTGGCCCGAGACAGCAACGCAGGAGGGGAGTCTGGGGGTCCCTCCTAGGCCCTGCAGCACCCCTGCCTGGGAGACCCTCTGCAGCTTCCCAATGGATTCCCCACCCCCATCCCCACCCCGGCTTAACTCAGGTTGATGCCCATTACCCGACCCCCCAAGTCCTTCTTCTAATACGAGTAATGGCACAACCTAGAGATGCCCCATTAGCGGGCACCACCTCTGGAGAATAGATGGTCTTGCCACTTGGCCTCCACGAGAGCCACTGGTGGGAGGCCTGTGGAAGGTGGTTGAGAGGTCCAGGCTGGCTGGATTCTCTAAGTGGTAAGACCATTTCCTATTGACTGGGACGTGACCTGAGTTGGGGCTGGAGGTGTGAGAACCCAGCACAACTGTGAACAGCACTGGGTTCCCGGCTAGCCGTCTCCCCTGACGGGAGCAGGTGCCCTACAGGTGTTCAAACATGTCTGTCCACTGATGGCAGTGACATGCCAGAAGTTTCCCAATGAAAGGTTGGAGCAATTGCACAGTAAGGTGGGAGCTTGCCTTGCATGTGGCTGACCTATGTTTGCTCCCTGGCATCCCATGTGGTCCCTGAGACCCACCAGGAGTGATCCTTGAGCACAGAGCCAGGAGCAAGTCCTGAGCACTGTTGGGTGTGGCCCCCAAACAAAGGAAGACTGATGCGTGCTCCCCAGGGTCTGGGCAGGGCCCCCGTACCCGAGGCCAGTGCTCAATGTAGGGGATCAGCATCCTCAGCCGGGTCTCCACAGTGTCCCTCAGAAACTGGTCTGTCTTCTTCTTCCTAGAAGGAAAATAACAGCGAGACTGGTCAAATGCCTGGGCTAGGGATGAGACTGATGACTGCCTGGTGGAGGTGACCAGAGGCAGGTCCAGGAGACCTGCAGTCAGACAGCAGCTGAATCAGCCTCACCAAGGCCGCGGGGCTGCTCAAGGCTGCCGGCCTCAGGCCCTGCCCTGAGCAGGAATGCCAGAGACTCACTGTCTGGCCCAGCTGTGTCGGGCTGTATTGCTGAGACTCACTCTGTTTGGCCCAGCTGTATCAGCTTCTGCTCCTCCTCCAGCAGCCGCCTGAGCTCCGAGTTGCACTGGGTCACAAAATGCAGTATCAGCTCACCGCCATCACTCCCAAACATGCCAGCGGCTGCCCTGGAGAGCCCCAGAGACTGCAAAGGGACAGAGAGAAAACAGTGGCTGACAAGTGCAGGGTGACTGGTGCCTGCTTATCACCTGCTTATCACAAGCTGCTTGCAGGTCTGCAGAGCTGGGTTTCCAGTGGGTCACTCACATTTCTCCAGCCCCTTGGGCCTCCAAAATAGGGATCAGGGGAGTTGGGGGCCACACTCTCCGCAATACTTAAACAGTGGGGTTGGGACAGTTCAGTGCTCAGGCCCAGTGGAGCTGGGGGACATCTGGGTCACACCCTGCGGTATCCAGAGATCGTCCAGGTCTGCATTTGGCAGTGCTCAGGGGGCCGGGGGAGGGTGCAGGGGTTTGAACTGGAGTCCCTGAGTGGGCAAGGAAGGCGTGTGCCCCTGACTGCTGCACCCCCCCACACCCACTCGTCATGCCGGGTCCAGGTGAGTGGGGTGAAGCTGACCCACCAGAACCATCCCCACCCCGCCAGGCCTGGATACCAAGTTCACTGATGACCAATCCCGGCCCTCAGGGGATCATTGCCCATGCTGACGGGAAAGAGGGAGAGGTGTTCTCGGGGCTGCTGAGCTGTTGTGAGTCCTGCCTGGGAACCCCCAATGAATGAAGCAGAGAGGCCAGTTTGAGAACACTGTGCCCGAGGTCCTGACTATTAACCCAGCTGCCCAGAGCTGCGCTTGCAGGGACAGTATTGTCCCTGGCCTTCTGCCAGCTCATCCTGTTCCTTTCTGCCCTTAAGCGTCAGAGTTCCTGGAGGACGGAGAGTTCTCTCCCCCGACACTCACTCTGTGTTTCGGCCTCACTAATTCTTGGGGGCTAATTAAGCATAGATGAGTACATAGAAGGCCCAGATGCAGGCCTCTCCTCTGCCAGGAACTAAGGGTTCAGACAGACAGAGGAGAGGACTGGGCGGTCTCTGGGGCCTTTCACCTAGAATGCCGGCGCCCAGGCGGGGGTCCTGTAACTGCTCTATCTCTGCTCTTTCTCCCGGAAGACTCTCCCCTTGAGATAAGCCTATTTTAAAGACGTGTGTCCCGATATAGTAAGGCCCTTGGAAGTGATAAAGTCAAGCCCAGACAAAGAGAATAAGGCACTTGACCAAAGAATGTTCTCCTTCTGGAGGTTACAGGTCGTAGCAATAAATGTTGTATGTGAAGGACAGAGGCTGTGAGCCCTCTGGTTCCATAATTTTTTCTATTATTTCTGTCTTTTCTTTTTTTTTGGTGTTTTTTTTGGGGGGTGTGCGTGTATGTGTGGGGGTGTGTGTCATAGTCTGCTCAGGGATTACTTCTCACGGTGCTTGGGGACCACATGGAATGCCAGGGATTTAACTCAGGTCAGCCATGTGCAAGGCAAGCATCTTACCAGTTGTTGTACTATTGCTCCGGCCCCTATTTCTCTCTTAAGTCCTCTGTGGTGTTCCTGCTTCAGATCTGTTGATCTGGGATTGGTCCCTGGCACTTCTCCAGAAAAATCCTCCCAGTTTCAGACCTGTGTGAAGTCACTCTGTGCTTGACCCCAAGAACTCACCTACTCATCAAAGCTCAAAACTACCTGTGGACTGGAGTGATAGCTCAGTGGGGAGTATGTTCACCCGCCAGTGGTGATCCCTGAGCACACCGCATTGATCAAACCATGCCCCCCTGCACCCCTACCCCCACTAGCAATGTGAGGAGGGCTGGAGAGAGGGCTCAATGGGCTGGAGCGTATGCCTCGTACACAGTAGGCCCAGGTTTGATTCGACCTCTCGACCAAACACTCTTAGGATCAACCCCAGAGCTGGGAGAAAGCCTGACCACTGCGAGGTGTGATGCACGCCCCTCCCCCCACAAAACCAAAGTAAGTAGATTAAAATGTGAAGAATAGGCACCAGACTGGCAGTAATAGGCTCTCTGGAGTATCACAGGTGCTTTTTACAACCTTGCCTGTGTCTGCAGTGTTCAGCCTTCACACTGGGCATACAGTACCATCACAAAGTACTTCATGTAACTGAGGGGCTAGAGAGGTGGGAGAGCTGGGAGGGGGTTGGCCTTACATGCAACTGACCTGGGTTCAATCCCCGGCACTCCATAAGGTCCCTCTGAGCACAAAGCCTGGAGCATGCCCTGAGCACCACTGGATGTAGCCCCCAAACAAAATAATCACTGATAAGTTACCATACATGTTCTTGGAAGAAGCGGGGTGGGCGGTGAGAGGGGGGAGTTAAATTTCGATAAAGCAGTCAAGGCTGAGAACATGGCTCAGGGGTGGAAGCAGCTGTCCCACAAGCGAGAGGTGATGGGTCTGACCCCCTGTGCCACCCTCATGTGCCGAGCACAATCCTAGTGGCTGTTTTGTCTGGCACCCCCCCGCCCCCCCAGTGGGTGTCAGCACCTCAACTGAAGAGTGTGATTCCCTTGCAAGCACTGCAACTAACAGAGATGTGAGCGCCGCAGTGAGGAGTCGAGCCCTGGAGAGCACTGTGTGAGTGCCATAGCGAGCCCTGACAAGCATGGCAGAGTGTTAGTGCCACAGCCAGTGTGGGATCCCCCAGTGCCAGTCACAACCCAGATGTCTGTGAGCGCCAGTCATCACAACAACAGCATAAAGGAGGCCGGAGTTGCCATGCACAGCCTTTGCATGTGGGAACCCCGTGTGCCATCCCTGGTACCTGAGCCCCTGTAGTCCAACACACGCAAAAGGAAAAAACCGAAGGGATTGGGAAACAATGAAAATGTTAAAGATAATACTAAGTAAAGTGGCATGGCTGTCCCATTTCATGGTTTGGGGGACACACCTAGCAGTGCTCAGGGTTTTCTCCTGGCTCTGGGTTCAGGGCGCATTTCCAGAGGGCTGGGAGGGACCATATGTGGTGCTGTGGCTCATACCCGGGTCAGCTGCGTGCAAGACAAGTGCCTAATCTGCTACTGTCCCATCTCTCCAGCCCTGTTTCAAGAGCTAATGTCTGGCAGTGAACTCAGGATGGGAGACACGGACCTGCGACTTGGGAGCATCACAGAAGTAGCACCTGGCCTCACTCAAGGCCCTGGAGGAACTATCACCCAATCTAAAGCAAGCTAGCAGAAGGGAATACCATTTGACTCATTAAGGGAGACAGGGGGCTGGCGGCTGAAATTTTCAAGCACCATGGTGTCACCAGTTCTGAGATACACGTGACGCGGCATTTTAGAACCAGCTTCACTGTTTCAGAGGCGGCATCCTTTATGCAGGGACACACAAACTCACCATGATTCTTAGAGCATCCTAGACCTAGTGAAAGGCAACAGTTTTGATAACAGGTGATTCTTTGTTTTTGCACTACATCTGGCAATGCTCGAGGCTTACTCCTGGCTCAGTGCTCAAGGATCACTCTAGCAAGGTTCTAAGGGGTGCCAGGGACTGAACCCAGGTGGGCTGCCTGCAAGGCAAACGTCCTCCCCACTGTGCTATGGCTCTGGTCCATATAAAAGGCAACTTCTGTCTCGAAGGGCTGCTTGCTCTTTGAACCTAACTCTCAAGTACCAAGTTCCCGGTCCCAACATTTAACATTAAAAAAACAGAGCACTGGGATCCAGAGAGATAACAGGGGGGTTACAGCTGCTCTTGCTTTCCATGGTTCAAAACCCAGCATAGCACTGCCTGCAGCGAGACCCCCATCCCAGCATCAAGGGCTGTGGCCCCCAAACAAAAAAATAAAGCAGGCCGTCAGACAAAGAGGGAGGTTTTGCCTAAGCAAGGCCCTAGTGTTTATTCCCAGCATCATGAAAAATAATGACTTTTTTCCTTTGGCTATTTTTTGGGGGGCTGTGGGTGGAAGTGAGGGTCACACCAGAGATGCTCAAGGGTCACTCCTGGCTCTGCACTCAGGAGCGATGCCTGGTGCTACTCAGGGGACCACATGGGATGCCGGGGATTGAGCCTGGGTTTGCTGCATACAAGGTAAATACCCAACCCACTGTACTGTTTGCTTCTATCCCACCTTTTTATTTTTTTTTTCAAATCTACTGGGGGGAAAAAAAAACAAACAAAACCTTCAACAAGGGCAGCAATGCAGGGCCCCAGGCTGAGCTAGCAGCAAGCCTGAGGCCCTGTGTTCTGGCCCAGGGCACACACCTGGGCTCCTTCCGCAATGGCTTCTGCTGTCCACCCGTGGGTGGGCACGAACTCCAGGGCTGCTGTCAGGATGCGCTGCTGCAGCTGCTCCTCACTCTCGTAGTCCTCCTCTTCCTCGCCACCCTGATCTGTGTACCTGAGGCCCAAAGTCGAGACAGACACCGGGATGGAGCCCCACTCACCTCGCCTTCCTGGACACAGACTGTTTCCACCCAGAAACCAGAGGCCCTGTGCCTCCTCTGCACCCGTTCAAAGGGTGTTTGCTCAGGGTGAGTACTGGTGCTCGGTGTCTGGTGTGAAATACAGTTGTGGGAAAACGTTAATGTTCTAGCAGTCTCTGGACTTCCCTGCTTTCAGGGAAACTGCTCCCCTGCAATTGGTACCATCATTTGCTGTGGGATGCAGCAACAATTTCTGTATGGTCCATAGCACGGATCAATATTAATACATGAAATGATATAACTGAACTGTTGCTCTTGAGAGCCTCATTAAAACTTTTTTTTTGGACACAACAGGTGATGTTCATGGCTTACTCCTGGCTCTGTGCATATAGGAATCACTCCCGGTGGGCTTGGTAGACAATATGGGGTCTGAGAGATCAAACCCAGGTTGCAAGGCAAGTGCCCTACCTGCGGTACTATGGCTCTGGCCTCATCTTCTATTTTGTTTCTTGGGCCACACCTAGCCTTACTCCTGGCTGTTTTAGGGATTACTAAGTGGGATTGGGACCATACGTGGTGCCAGAAATCGAATCTGGGGTCCCGCTCGCCCGCTCCTCTCTGGAAAGAAAGATGGCGGCCGCACGGAGCCTTGTGGACAGCAGGTTTGAGCCGGGGGTGGTGGGAGCGGCAGGGACCTCATGGGAAGGGGGGGGGTTCTGGGCCATCCTCCACGCCCGACCGAGGTCGCCAGCTGCCCCCCACGAGCGGCTCTCCGGCACGGCCACGACTCCAGGGCACAGAAACCAATCTCTTAACTATCTAACTTTTAATAGAAATTCTTCCAGGGTTAATAAGTAAAATAGCAGAAATCCAAAGTCGACATCATTTTACTCTTAAACCAAGCTGTAGAAAGCAAATCATTTCACAACGCTGTTTCAGCATGTATGATTGGGGGGGGGTCGTAAACTCTAAACAATAATTGTGCATCTTCTATCGAAACAATGTATCTAGTCAAAGTAGATAGAGTATTAACTAGAACTCATCTGCCTCACAGGAATTGGGAGGGGTGGGAGGTGGGGTTCTATTGGGGTTCGCGGTTAAAAATAAGTATTGGTAAAGGGAAATGTGTTTGATATTTACATGACTGAGATCTAAACCCGAAAGCTCTGTAACTTTTCCCACAGTGATTCAATAAAGAAATAAATTATAAAAAAAAAAAAAAAAAAAAGAAATCGAATCTGGGTCGGCCATGTGCAAGGCAAGTGTCTCCCAACTGTTCTATCTCTCTGGTTCCTAAAAGAGTGTATCTTATCTAGATGATGAAAGATAGTAAAACATACTGTTAACAAGATGTACCTGTGAGTGGGAAAGCAGTTTCAGTAACAACATGCACAGTGTAATGTAAGGGATCATCTTGGATAGAGGCTTTTTGTTTTTTAACAGGGGAGGGGTTGGGCCACACCTGACAGAGCTCATAGTTTACTCCTGGCTCTGTGCTCAGGAATCACTCCTGGGAGTGCTAAGAGGCCCATATGTAGTGTCGGAATCGAACCAGATTTAGCCTCAGGTGCCTTTATTATATATTTAGCCTCAAGACCTATATTATATCTCTGGTGCTAGATACAGATCTAAATATGAAATACGCTCACAGAAATATCTCAAAGAATAATCAGATTAGCCTGAGCAATAGTAAGGTGGTTAGGGTATTTGCCTTGCATGGGGCTCACCCAGGTTCGATCCCCAGCATCCCATATGGTTCCCCGAGCACCAACAGGAGTAATTCCTGAGTGCAGAGCCAGGAGTAACCTCTGAGCGTAGTTGGTTGTGGCCCCTCCCTCTGAGGGAAAAAAAAAAAAAGAATAGCCAAATAAATAGCCTGATAATTTTCGCTTTTGGGGGGGTTTGGCTTTTGGGCCACACTCAGCTGCACTTGAGGATCACTCTTGGGAGAACTGGGGAACTATATGTGGTAAAAGTAAGTAAAAGTAAAGGCCCTCCCGTTGATCGTCGATTTGCTCGAGCGGGCCCAGTAACGTCTCCATTGGAGACTTTGTTGTTACTGTGTCTGGCATATCGAATACTCTCGGTAGCTTGCGGGGCTCTCCGAGAGGGGCGGAGGAATCGAACTCGGGTCGGCCATGTTGGCCGCATGCAAGGCAGACGCCCTACCCGCTGTGCTATCGCTCCAGCTCTCACTATATGTGGTGCCAGGGATTAAAGCCAGGTGGTCCGCGTGCAAGGGAGGTGCCTACCCACTATCCTATGACTCCAGCCACATTTCTGTAAATATTTTAAGAACACACAAGAATAACTTTTTACAAACGCCAGATCCCTCTTAGAGGTATCACAAGAGGAAAGGAGAGTCAAGCATGCGAATGGACAAGCACTTGTGAGTGGGCTACTGAGGCCTACCTGGGGGGTGGGCGAGATGATGCCGGATTGGGTTCTTCGGCCCCCTGTGTCTCAGAATGTTGCTGAGAAAAGTTGTGGGGTGGTGGCTGCTTCTGCTCATTGGCAGATCTGAGCTGCAGAGCTGAAGCGTGGAAGGCCTGGCGCCCCAGGGCCGGCTGGCAGCGGGACACTGCAACACAAATGGGCTGGTCAGTCAGGGACACCGAGCAGAGAAATCCCTCTGTGAGCAAGCAGGGATGTAAAAGAGTGAGGAAGACTGGCACAGCAGTAGCCAACTCAGAACCAAGCATCCAAGTGTTGAGTTCTGGACAAGAATCTTGCGAGTTGGCAGGTGGGTGGTGCGATGTGGTGACAAAAGTCTGAGGTCAGGAACAAGCCCAGGTTTTGAGGTCCTTTCCTATAATACATTAGCTGTGTGAGTTATAAGCCACTTTTATCCCAAAGTGTACATCGGAGCGACAGCAGAGCAGGTAGGGTGCATGCTTTGCAGAGGGCCCACCTGGGTTCTACCACTGGCACCCCAAAAGGGCCCTTGGGCACCGCTAGGAGTAATCTTTGAGCACAGTGCCAGGAACTTGCTGGGTGTGGCTCCAAAACAAAATAAAGTGCATGATTTGAAAAACGAATGGAGTCTATTTTCTTAGTGGAAATGCTGCGGAGCCTAAGAGAAAGTTGGGCCAGGGACAGCTTGGGGGTTGGACGCCAGCTCTGCGCGTGGTTTGATCCGCGGCAAGAGTACTGGCCTAGACACGAGAAGACCCGAGTACTGACTCCCGCGCCGGTCTGTGCGCTGTGAGGAGCACATCCCGGTGTTTCTATGGCATCTGCTCAAACCTCTCTCTCTGCTTTCTTTTTTTGCTTTTTTTTGGGGGGGATCACACCAGGCAATGCACAGGGGTTACTCCTGGCTCTGCGCTCAGGAATTATCCCTGGCGGTGCTCAGGGGACCATATGGGATGCTGGGAATCGAACCCGGGCTGGCTGCATGCAAGGCAAATGCCCTACCTCTTGTGCTATTGCTCCAGCCCCTCTCTCTGCTTTCTTATCTGCAATGCCTGCTACACCCATTACTTTTTGGGTCACTCTGGGCAGTGGCCAGCGGCTATTCCTGGTTCAGTGTTCAGGGGACATGTGGTTCAGGAAACTAACCCTGGGCCACTTGCATGCAAAACTCTCTCCAGCCAGTTGTGTTTTCTGTCCTCCTGCACCTCATTTACTTTCCCACTTATTTCTATTTCAGTGTTTGTGGGGCACTGGAAATTTTTGGTGGTGGTGGGGTACAGTGGGGCTCTGGGATATACACAGCAGTGCTCCTGGTGGTGCTTGGGGGACTACATGTGTTGTCATGGACTCAAATAGGGTCAGCCATGTGTAAGATGTCTCCAGCCCTGGTGCTGGGGATTGAACCTAGGGTCTCACATAAGCAAGGCATCAAGCTCCATCTTGCTCCAACTCCATTTCCTTTTGGGAAGTGCTCTGGAAAGGCTCATGGTTTTTCTTTCGGTATCTTTCTTTGTAGTGCCAGGGGTCAAACCCAGGGACATGTTCAGGCAAAGTCAGCACTCTGCCACTGAGTGGAGCCACGTGCCTTCCCTTCCCTAACATTCCACTACACTAAAAACCTCAAAAAGAAACAACAAAACAATGGCAAATGCATTGCCTTGCATGCAACTGACCCGGGTTTCATCCCAGCACCCTGTATGGTCCCCTGCGTACAGAACCAGGTGCAAGGCTTAAGCATTACCGGGTATGGCCCTAAAAACAAAACCCCCAAAATTCCAAATTACAGACAAGTTGAAAGAACTGTCTTAAAGACCTTCATACCCAGGGATGTTCAGGTTTACTCCTGGCTCTTATGTTCAGGAATCACTCCTGGGGGATTAGGGAGCCTTATGAGGTGCTGGGGATCCAACCAGGGTCAGCCACATGTGAGGATAAGTGCCCTACCCATGGTACTATTGCCCCAGCCCACTAGGCACTTGGTTCTGACGCTTCTGTAAATATGCTGGATAAGTATTAATAGAAGTTCCCATTTTTTGTTTTGTGGGCAACACTGGAGGAGCTCAGGGCTTACTCTTGGCTCTGCCCGCAGGGATCACTCTGCTGGCTTAGGGGACCCTATGAGATGTTGGGGATGGAATGCGGGATGGCTATATGCAAGGCAAGAGCCCTATCCACTGTACTGTTCCTCCAAACCCTGAAGTCCAATTATTTCCTCTTGAGGTGACATTTAGATACTATGTACAAAATTTAAATGTGTCAATGCTGAATTTTGACAAATAAATAGACTTGCATAATCTCACCTCCTCTCCATAGATTACTACTGCCTGTTCCTCCTGGGATTCCTACCCACACTCTTCTGAATTTTTCAGCTTAGCTTCGCCTTTCCTTTTGCATGTCATCTAGAGAATCATACAGCGTGTCCTTTTTTGTGTTGACTTAGGATCGTTTTCAGACCGATGCCTATTTTTATGGAAGTCAGTGCTCATTTTCTTATTGCCTCAGAATACGAAGAGACAGTATTTTATTGGTGGACATCTGGTCTGTTTCATGCTATTATGAATAAAGCAGCTAGTGACAAACTTGTACAAACCTTTTTGTGGACATAAGCTTTAATGATCTTGAGCAAATACTGAGAGTGGACTTGTTGTTCACAGGCATCACTTTCATGAAACATATGTAATTTAGTTTTGTATATGAATTTTTTTAAAAAGGGCTTCCCATTGGGCCACTTTGGTAACAATTTGAAAAGTAACAGAATGGTACATGTAAAATCATCAATATTTTCAGTGTACAGGGATTAAGTGAGCAAATATTCAAAAACCAGAAAAGAATGAATGGGGACGGGGTGGGGAGGGTCCCCAAAGTACTAGAGTGGCACCACTGTGGTTCCTATTATACTAGCGGTACAGAAGAGTATTTACGTCAGTAGTTATATATTGATGCTAATGTGTCCATTCTTACTTCTATGTATGGTAGGTGACAGTGGTTAATGTTTCCTCTGGTAAGTAGAGTTCCTATTAGGAAGAATTTGCACATGTCAACAAAAAGAGTGGCTAGATAGTAAGACGAGGGTATCAGAGGAGTCCAGATGTGGTGGGGAAGTAAGAGGTTCATACAACAAGGGACAAGTTAGTAAGCAGCCCTGTCTGTCTGTCTGTCTGTCTGTCTGTCTGTCTGTCTTTCTCAATGGAGGAGTGGAGACAAGCTGTAAGTTAGTAAAGCAACGTTCCCTGTCTGTCTGTCTGAGTCTGTCTGGGAGTAGAGACTGGAGACGAGCTGTGTGCAGGCTAGTAAACAGTGTTCTCTGTCTGTCAGTCCATGCATGTCTGTCTGTCCCTGCTGGGGAGTGGAGACAAGCTGTGTGTCAGCTAGCAAATAGCGCTCTCTGTCCGTCAGTCTGTCTCTGTCAGGAAGTGACAAGCTGTGGTGTCAGTGAGCAGCGCACTCTGTGTGTCTGTCTCTGCTGGGGCATGGAGACAAGCTATACGTTAGTAAGCAATGCTCTCTGTCCGTCCGTCCGTCTGTCTGCCTCTCTCTGTCGGGTTGTGGAGACAAGCTGTGTGTCTGTTAGTTAGCGGTGCTCTGTCCGTCTGTCTCTCTGTCGGGGGGAGTGGAAACAAGCTGTGTGTTGGTAAACAGTGCTCTCTGTCCTGCAGTCCAGACATCTGTCCGTCTGTCTCTGTCAGGGAGTGGAGAGCAAGCTCTAAGTTAGTAAACAGCGCTCTCTGTCTGTCAGACCGACAGTCTGTCTGTCAGGGAGTAACAAGCTGTGTGTCCTTTAGTAAGCAGCTGCTCCATCTGCCTGTCAGTCTGTCTGTCAGGGAGTGGAGACACCACTAGTAAGCGGAGCTCCGTCTGTCTGTCTCAGCTGTCACATAGTACACTGCGCTTTCTGTCCGTCAGCCCGACCGTTTGTCTTCTGTCAGGGAGTCACAAGCTCCGGGCCCACTAGCAAGCAGCGCTCCGTCCGTCTGTCCGTCTGGGTGTGGAGACAGGTAGTGCGCCCGCTAGCAAGCAGAGTTCTGTATGTCAGTCCGTCTGTCTGTCAGTCTCTGCCGGGAAGTGGAGACGGGCTGTGTGTCCGCTAGTAAGCGGCGCTCTGTCCGTCTGTCTCAGTCAGGGAGTGGAGACATGCCGTGAGTACACCAGCGCTCTCTGTCCGTCAGTCCGACCGTTTGTCTTCTGTCAGGGAGTGACAAGCTCTGTGTCCGCTCGCAAGCAGCGCTCAGTCCGTCTGTCCGTCTGTCTCGGTCAGGGAGTGGAGACAGGCTGTGTCCGTTAGTCAGCGGCGCCCCGTCCGTCCGTCAGTCCGTGCGTGCGGTGCCCCGGGCGCCCCGACCGCTCTGACCCCGGCGCCCGCCCGGCCGCCCCCCCCACCACGCGGCGCGCGCCCGCGCCCTTCACCTCACCTTGCCCGCGGGCACACGGGCCCGGCGGCCTCCCCGCCCTGCAGCCCGCCCGGCGGGCCTCGCGCGCCCCCGGCCGCGCCCCGCAGCCCCCCGCGCGCGGCCGCCCCCTCACCGGGCAGGCACCGCAGCGACAGCAGCCTCCAACCCGCGCGGCCGAGCGCGCCGGACAGCGCCGCCGCCATCTTGGGAGCGGGCACGCGGGCGGCAGCGACGCGGCTTCCGGAGCCCGGCGCCTGCACTTCCGCCCGGCTCGCTCGCGCCGCCTCTCGCGAGACCCTCGAGGCTCCCGAGCCGGCGGCGGCGGCGGCGGCAGCGGCGGCGGACGGTCCGGGAGTGGGAGCGCCGGGCTGCAGGTGAGCGCTGTGCGGTGCGGGCGGGCGCGGGGCTTCCCGACTCTCCCTGCGGGCCCGCCGGCCCCTCGGACCCTCTCCGCGCCGGTGCCCGGGCGCCGTGCCCGGGAGGAGCCCGGGGGTGGGCTCCGGTGCGGGGCCCCTCGCCGACCTGCCCGGCCGCCTGGGGCTCCGGCCGCTGCTGCTGGGCTCGGACCCGGAGCCGGGGCGCGGCGGGCCCTGCAGGGCTCCGGAGCGGTCAGCCGGCGGCGGCGGCGGCGACCTTGGGCCTCCGTCCCTTCTCTCCGGCTAGCGCTGGAGCCCCGGGCGGGGCCCGGGCCGGTACCGACACGCCGGGCCGGACCGTTGTTGGCCAGCGTTGAGCCGGCAGGTGTGTGGCCGGGTCCTCCCTGGACCCGTCGGGGATGCAGGTCTCAGCCGGGGCTGCCCGGGTCCACCCCCCACCCCCACCCCGCCCGGTAGCCGGGACCCGGGACCCGGCTGCAGCCCCCGATGGCTGGGCGCAGGGGCCCGGGAGGACCGGGAGGCCGGGATGGGGGCGCCGGTTCCGACGGCCCGGGCGGGTGCCCGTGCTGAGCCCGGTCCGGGCGGGGGATGCCCGGTTCTAGATTTCCTATCAGTGGAACCTTTGCAGATGGCTTGGCGGGGCACGGATAGCCGCCCTGGGTTTGGTTTGGGGGCCACACCCGACGGTGCTCAGGGTTGACTCCTGGCTCAGTGCTCAGGGAGCAGCAAGTCCTGGTGGGGGGCTCAGGGGACCGTGATGGTGATGCCCGGATTGAAAGCACCCAGGTGGGCTGCGGGCGGGCCAAACGCCCTCCCGACGCTGTACTGTACTGTCGCTCAGGCTCCGGATTCTAGTTTTTCTAACCCCGAGTGAGTGTTAGGACACCCTCCCCGTCCCCCCACCCCCCCTCCCACCTCCCGCTCATCACAGGCAGAAACTGCAATTAAACCTGCAGGTTCTCTCTGTGCTGTCTGTCTGTTGCAGTGCACGCTGTTCTCTGCGAGGTTTTTGTTTTCGGAGTGCTATCCAGGCATCTTTGAACCTTTCCCTTGGAAAAGCTACTGTTTGGCCCTTTCTGGAGCCTTCTGGAGTCCTTAACTCGACCTGCCTGATTCTTGGAGAGGGCCTTCCCATTTCCTTTCCTTGCTGATTATCTACTCCCAGCCCCCCACCTTGTGTCTCTGAACAAGAGTCAGCTCATTGAAACTAAAACTTGCCGTTATTTATTTGTTTATTTTTAAAGGCTTTTGGGCAACACCTAGTGATGCTCAGGGGTTATTCCTGGCTCTGTGCTCAGGGATCACTCCTGGTGGTGCTTGGGGGAACCGTATGGGGGTCCCAGGGAAGGAACCTGGGTCTGCCGTGTGCAAGGCAAAAATGCCCTCCTCCCTGTACAATCGCTCCAGTCCCAATCTCAGCCTGTTTAAAGCACCTGGTTTAAAAGAATTCAGCCTCTTGTCTTGATGCCTGGCCCCGCTCCGTGTTTAGGAGGCCACAGATGCCTTCAGATATGATGCCTGCGTGAGGAATCTTAGAATAATCCGATGTGGCTCCATAAGTGATCCCAGACCCTTCCCTCCCTGCCCGTCAGGCTGTGGTGGTGCCAGGGGCTTGTTCCTGCAGCGGTCACAGCTGGAGAGGTGCCCGACAAACAAGGCCAGTGATGCGACAGTGACTCTGCTCCACCTTTTCTGGTTTGTGGAACTGGACTCTGAGTCACAACTTCTAAGTATGCTCACTTAGGTGCCAGATGTGATTGCCTCATGGTTTTTGTTTTTATTTGATTGTAGTCTTTTAGGTTTTGTTTGTTTGTTTGTTTTCTTTTTGGCTCACACCCAGGGATGCTCAGGGGTTACTCTTGGCTCATGCACTCAGGAATTACTCCTGGCCGTGCTCAGGGGACCACGTGGGATGCTGGGAACCGAACTCGGGTCGGCTGCGTGCAAGGCAAATGCCCTACCTGCTGTACTATTGCTCCAGCCTCTAGTTTTTTAGTTTTGGGGTCATACCCGGCCTGACTTCCGACTCTGAACTCGGGGATCACTCCTGGTGGTGCTCAGGGGGATCATATGTAATGTTGGAACCCAACTGGTGTCAGCCACTTGCAAGGCAGTCACCTTAAACCCTGTTCTATTTCTCTGGCCCACAGTGCTTTTAATTTTAAAACTATGAAAAAAATTTTTTGTCTTGTTTTGTTTTTGGGTCTCACTCAGTAATACTCAAGGGTTACGACTGGCTCTGCACTCCTGGTGGTTCTCTGGGGGACCATATGGAATCAAATCCAGGTTAGCTGTATGCAAGGCAAGCTCCGTACCCACTGTGCTGTCTCTCTTGCTCCACTTTTTCTTTTTGGGGGGGTGACTTTTTGGGTCACACCCAGTGATGCTCAGGGGTTATTCTTGGCTCTGCACTCAGAAATTACTCCTGGTGGTCCTTGGGGAAACCATATGGGTTGCTGGGGATTGAGCCCGGGTCAGCCACATGCAAGGTAAACGCCCTACCCGCTGTACTGTCGCTCTAGCCTATCTCTTACCCTGCTTTAAAATTATTATTTTCTAATTTTTTTGTTTTTGGGTCACACCCAGTGGTGCTCAGGGGTTACTCCTGTCAGACTCGGGGGACCATTCAGAATTCTGGGGGTCAGACTTGGGTCAGCCTCGTGCAAGGCAAATGCCTCCACGCTGTACTATCACTCTAGCTCTGACAGGTGCTTTGATGGAGGACTGATTTTGTTTTGCTTACCTTTAAGATTCCAAGGTTCTTTTCTCCACATTCTACGAGTTAAAAGGTTCAAGGTTTCAGTTCTTGAGCGTGTGCTTGTTAGGGTTTTGTTTTAAACGTCACAGGTCAGTGACTAAGGAGGCCTGCTCCTTGGAGACTTGTCCTTGAACTGGACTTTCCCTGCGGTCAGGATCCACATGGAAGGGACTGGAGGAGGGGTGTCCCGGAGAGTGAGGGGGTTCTTCCTGACAAGGAGGGATTCCCTTTCGAGTCAGGAGACACCGGTGGAGCTGCCTGGACGGTGGAGTTTGTTTGGCTTTTGCAAACTTAAACGTAAGATCTTCAGCAAATGAATTCCTTTAAGAAACTGAGTGACAGACTCAAAGTACCCTAGTGTGTAAGGATGCCAGGCTACCCGGGGCACGTCCTGTAGGCAAAGAGGAGCAAGTGGGGAGAAGGGATGTTTTTAACCTTCAGTGGTGCTGGACATAGGACCCAGACTCATATGGGAGACACGTGCTCAGAGGCTGAGTTCATTCGGAGCCTATAGGTAGGAGCTGTTATTTGTTTGTTTGTTTGTTTATTTGTTGCTTGGGGGCACACCTGGCAGTTCTTCAGGCTTACTCCTCACCTTCCTCACTCCTGACTCCTGGTCACTCCTGGTGGTTCTCGGGAGACCATCTCATGACTGCCGGGGATGAAACTCCGATGCGTTTCTAAAGAAGGAAGAGCATAGTAGTGGACGTGGCTTGTCTTGGCCTGGCACGATTGTCAGTGAGTTCCCGCCCCCGGGAACACTGCCCTGTCCAGTCTGGCGGGGCTGAACCAAGCCGCATCCCTCTCCCGCCAGCTTCTCTCTTCTCTCGTTTATTAGGGACGTTTCGGGCTGGGAGCTGAAGCATTAATGTTTAAGAAAGGAAGAACCGAGCAGCGGGGCGCACTGTCTCCTGACCTAGTTTCCTCATGAGCACAGTCTAGACTCACCTGAGTATCAGGTAGAAGAGAAAGCTTACCCCCAGGGAACATTGCCGTAGGCTGGAAGCACAGGGCTTACTGTCAGATAGGTTTGGGTTCACACCCCAGCTCTTTATCTATCTAACACCTGCTTGCTGTGGGATCTGGGCAAAGCCAGTGACCACAGTTTCCTGGCTGTAAAATGGGAATAAGATCTAGTTTAAAGGTGTCTGGAGGGGGCCTGAGAGATAGTACAGTGAGTAAGGCCCTTGCCTGGTATGCAGCCAGCCCAGGTTCCATTCCTGGCATCCCATATGGCCCCCCAAGCCCGTATGGGATGATTCTTGAGTGCAGAGCTAGGAGTAACCCCTGAGCATTGCCAGGTGTGGCCCCAAAAAAACCCAGAAAAATAAAAACTGAAATAAAGGTGTGCTGAGGTTTCATTTGAGGTAATGCATATGAAGTGCTTGGAACAGTCTTGCTAATAGGTAAAGGTAAGGTAAAGGCCCTCCCGTTGATCGTCGATTTGCTCGAGCGGGCCCAGTAACGTCTCCATTGGAGACTTTGTTGTTACTGTGTCTGGCATATCGAATACTCTCGGTAGCTTGCCGGGCTCTCCGAGAGGGGCGGAGGAATCGAACTCGGGTCGGCCATGTTGGCCGCTTGTAAGGCGAACACCCTACCCGCTGTGCTATCGCTCCAGCCCAGCCCAGTCTTGCTAATATTAATTAAAACTTAAAAACAATAAGTTTCATTTAGGAAATGAGAGGAGAGAGTGCCCCATAAGAGGAAGTAAGAGAAATTATGTCAGTGGGAAGGAGGTGTGGAGCTGGCGTGTGGAGTTTGCTGGTGTTTATTTATCACCCTCCCTGTGGTGGTGGGGATGAGGTGGTTTTGCTCCCAGCCCTCTGAACTGTCTCCAGGCCTTTTTTATTTTGCAGAGCTGGGATACAACCCAAGTCTCATGTGTGCACAGGGAGCACTTTACCTTTGAGCCACAGCCCAGCCCCGTGAGGTTAAATTTTAAAGAAAGACATAATACATACTAATGCTTCAAACAGTCTTCCTAATAAAAGTCCATAAATGGCATAGTGGGAACTGTTGATCATTGCAGATTGAGCAAAGTTGAATTTGTATATTTTAATAAAAGAGGAAATATCAGTGGGATATTTTATCTTTTTAAAAAGCATTTCAGGGGCTGGAGTGATAGTACAGTGGGTAGGGCGTTTGCCTTGCACGCAGCCGACCCGAGTTCAATTCCCAGCATCCCATATGGTCCCCTGAGCACTGCCAGGAGTAATTTCTTAGTGCGTGAGCCAGGAGTAACTCCTGTGCATTGCCAGGTGTGACCCAAAAAGTGGTCACGGTCACGGTCCTCTCGTTGTTCATCGATTTGCCCAAGCGGGCCCAGTAACGTCTCTATCGTGAGACTTGTTACTGTGTTTGGCATATCGAATACATCATGGGTAGCTTGCCAGGCTTTGTCGTGCGGGCGAGATACTCTAGGTAGCTTGCCCGGCTCTCGGAGAGGGGCAGAGGAATCGAACCCAGCTCGGCCAGGCTGGCTGCGCACAAGGCAAACGCCCTACCCACTGTGCTACTCTCCAGGTCAACCCAAAAAGCAATAATAATAATAATAATAAAACATTTCAGCTTGTGGTTAAATCTGCATGTGTATTTGCCTTCCTGTGGAGTCCTGCTTCCGCCTCCTCAACGTCCTTGTATTGTACTCCGTGCAGGCTAAGTTGCCGCAGGTCACAGGGTAGGCTCCTTCTGCTTTTCACCTTCATTGTCCAGTCAGGATTCTTCCCAGAGAAGGCACCGGCTCGCCCTGGGGGCATTGGGCAGAGGGAACTCGGGTTTGTGTGACCCTGCCCTCTGACCTCTGATTCGGAAGACCTTCCCGAGGTGGTCCGCATCCTCCGGTGGGGAGTTGGGAGCAGGCTGTGTCGCCAGTCACATTCCGTGGCCCGTCCCGGGTGAACCCGTGCTGTTGTCTCTGCAGCTCTCAGGATGGCGGCTTTTGGGATCTCAGCTGGCCAGTCTGTGGCACTGGTCTGGGACAAGTCTGCCCCCGTGGAGGCCCTGAAAGATCTGGTGGACAAGCTTCAAGGGCAGACCGGTGAGGAAGGCCGCGTGTCCGTGGAGAACATCAGCCAGCTGCTCCAGTGTAAGTACCTCCCCAGTCCTGTCGGGGGCAGAGCTCAGGGCTGCTCCTGGTGGGCTTCGAGGAACCATAAGGGACCCAGGGATCGAACCCGGGTCAGCTGTGTGCAAGGCAAGTACAGCCCTCCCCACTGTACTGTCTCTCTGGCCTTGTCCCTTTTAATCCTTTGTCCCTGGGTTGGGCCAACACATGGCAGAAGTGACCCATCACACTATCCGTGTTTTGATTGAGATGTAGTGGACTTCGGCATTCATTAGCTGATGATTTGTATTAAAGTATGTTCTTATTTCTATTAAAATTTTTAACATCCTTTAAAATATTGTGCTCTCTTCGACCTCTTTCCCTGAGCATAAAAAAATTAAGATCTTTGTGTGTGTGTGTGTGTGTGTGTGTGTGTGTGTGTGTGTGGTGGGATGGTTTGAGTCATTCCTGGTGGTGCTTAGGGCTTACTCCTGGCTCTGTGCTCAGGATCACTCCTGGTTAGGGGTTAGGGGTGGACCATATGGGATGTGGGCGATTGCACCCCCTGTGGGCTCCATGCAAGGCAAGCACCCTACGTGCTGTACTATTTTTTGTTGGAGGTTCACATCCAGCAGTGCTCAGGACTTACTCCTGGAGCTGTGCTCAGGGCTCAGTCCTAATGGGCTTGGCGGGGATCCTGTGGGGCTGCCAGGGATTGAACCTGGGTCAGCCACATTCAAGGTGGGATAGTATTGCTCTGACCCCTCCCCCCCAAAAAAAAAGAATTAAAAAAAAAAAACTCCAGTTGCTAATACGCAATTAGAAAGCCAGAGAGAGCTGGTAGCAGCGTCATCATGCTTTTTTGCCGGTAACGGTGACACAATAGTGCTGGCTCCTCATGGGGTGTGGCTTCTCCTGGGGCTTCCAGTTGGGTGGGGTGGGGTGGGATGGGGGTTCGGAGGCGCTGGCGGTTGCTTCTGGGCTGAGGGGGCTGCTGATGACCGTCTTTCTTCTTCTCAGCCGCGCACAAGGAGTCCAGCTTTGACTGTATTCTGTCTGGGGTCGTTCCTGGCAGTGCCACCGTCCACAGCGCTGAGGTGTTGGCCGAGATTGCCCGGATCCTCCGGCCCGGCGGATGTCTCTTTCTCAAAGAGCCGGTAGAGACAGCTGCAGGTAAGCAGATCTTCACTCGGAAGACTCAAGCCAGGTTTGGTCGATGCTTCCCTCGGAGCCAGGGGATAGCATTGCGGAACTTCTCCAGAGGGTTAAAATTGCTGTGAAAATCCAAAGCAGCACATCTCGGAAGCATTGTGTTCTTTGGTCCTTTAGGCAGGAAGCGACCCAGTGAAAAACAGGTGAAGGGTTAAATTCTGAGTGGAAAAATCAGGCAGCCATAAAAAGGAACAAACTTCAGCGGTCTGTCACTCACAAGCATGCATCGATCCACCGCAGCTCTCAGGTGTAACGGTGCTCCCTCCTACAAGCTCTGGGTGCTTGTAGGAGGCGCGCCCGTCTAGGTTAGTCTAGTTACACACTTGGCACATTCACACAGCGACAATCACCTAATGACCGTTTCTCAGAATGTTCCTAGTAATTAGTGACAGACTTTTGAACGGATCTCAAAGGAATCATGCTAAGTGAAAAATGTCAGTCTCAAAGGTTATATGCTGAGGACTGGAACAATAGCACAGCAGGTAGGAACAATTGCACGCGGCCAACCTGGGTTCGATTCCCAGCATCCCATAGGGTGCCCCGAGCACCGCCAGGAGTAATTCCTGAGTACAGAGCCAGGAGTAACCCCTGAGCATCGCCGGGTGTGACCCAAAAAGAAAAAAAGATAACAAAGGTTATATGCTGTAAGATTCTGCTCACTTCTCATTCTGGAATCAGAGTGCCTGAGAACGGGTGGGTATTCGGGTTAGTGGTGGGAGAGAGAGATGCGTGAGAATTGGTCTGAGGGTTCCCTGTGATGTGGGGGAGTTCCCCATCTTCATCATGTGATCACCTGAATAGGCATGTGAGGTAAGATTTGCAGAAGCACACACATGCACACACATGTGAAACTCTGAGTCTGGCCACACTCGGTCACTCTAGTGCTCTGACGAGTCTGGCCAAGTTCTAACGCCAGTGCTCGTTTCTCCACATCCATCTTCCCCTCAGATTGTGGTCACTGGGGCCTTAAAGTCCCAGTTCTGTGTCCATCTTCCCCTGAGATGTTCCTCAGGAGGAATGCAACAGACCGCTCACCGGCTCCCAAGCTTCTCCCCATCCCCCCCAACCTTTCAATTTCCTATGTACCTATGTATTTCTTGTTGCTTCAAGATAAAATGTTAAAATGTTAAAACTTACTGACTAAAAATCTGCATTTAAGGAGTAACTTGATTATATGAAATTCATGCTATATGCAAAGAAAAGCTTTTTTTTTTCTTTTTTGGGTCACACCCAGTGATGCTCAGGGGTTACTCCTGGCTCTGCACACAAGAATTGTTCCTGGCAGTGTTCAGGGGACCGTATGGGATGCCAGGGATTGGATCCCTGACCCGCTGTATTCTGGCCCAGAAAAACTTTTCTTTTTATTTGTTAAGTGGTAAATTGCCAAAGAGGCATTCAGTTCTGAAGTTCTGTCACTTTTTTACAAGACTTTCCCTCAAAGTCTGATGATTCACTCATCAATTAATAGAAATGAAAATATTTTAATGTATTTTATCTGATGGTTCTGATTTTTTTTTCTTTTTGGGTCACACCCAGCGATACTCAGGGGTTCCTCCTGGCTCTGCACTCAGGAATTACCCCTGGTGGTGCTTGGGGGACCATATGGGATGCCGTGGATTGAACCTGGGTTGGCTACGTGCAAGGCAAATGCCCTGCCCACTGTGCTATCACTCTGGCCCAAGGTTCTGCTGTGGAAGTGTAGATGTGATGTCAATAGCAGATACCAGTGGTCCTTTTCGGGGAAGGTTTGGGACACACCTGGCCGTGCTTAGGGGCTGTTCTGGGTTCAGTGCTCAGGAGTGACCTCTGGGCTCAGGAGATGATATGCAGGACTGGGGATTGAACTCCGGCCAGCCATATGCACGACCCTTACCTCCTGCACTGTCTCTCCAGCCGTTATGGGAATTTAAACTTCAAATAAGTTGGAGCCAGGAGAGATAGTACAGGGGTGAAGGTACTTGCTCTGCATGCAGCTGACCCTGGTTTGATCCTGGGCGTTGTATATGGTTGCCCAAGGCCTGCCAGGAGTGACCCCTGAGCATAGAGCCGAGAGGAGCCCAACTGTCCCCTCCCTAAATAAAAGAAACCTCTAGTCACTAAAACTTATATTTTCCTTTCCAGAATTTTTAGGAGAAAATGCTTGTATGCTTAAGATTTTAGGGGCAGGGGGTGAGGGTGGTTTGGACCACACCTGGGCATCCTCGGGGTTGACTTGCTCAGGAATCGCTCTCAGTGTTCGCCAGGAGTCAAACTGCCTTAGCCGCACGCAAGGCAAGTGCCTTATCCCTCCACTATCTCACAACCCAAGATTTTTTCCCCTGTTGTTATCAGTTATTGCCCAACAGTCCTGGGAGGTTCAGTATTTCCAAGAAGCAGAGAGTGAAATAATCCTAAAGGATTTGACACTTAACAGCATAGATAAGAGCACTTTGATCTCACCTGTGCTGGAGATAGGGCAGTGGTGGGGCACTTGCCTGGCAGGCAGCTGACCTGGGCTTGGTCCCCCAGCACTGCATAAGGTTCTCCCAGACCCTGCCAGGAGTGACCACTGCCTCTGTGGCCCCCCCCAAACAAGCAAACGAACAAAAAGAACATTTTACTCAACCCAAAGGATTTGTCCAGTTAAAATACTATCCTTGGGGTGGGGGGAGGTGTTACGGGGGTTCAGGCTCGTGCCCTGCATTGTCGCAGACCCTGGTTGGATCCTCACTGGAGTTCTGGGGGCTCAGCACAGTATCCTTGGGCCTGTGCATTCACCCGCCTGCCTGGTGGGCCAAGAATCACCGGGAATAGCCCCCAGGCCTCCTGAGCACTGCCACGCCGCCCCCCCCACCCCCGCGCCCCGTTCTGCACCCCCAAATGCTGCCTTTGAAGTATGGGCACATGAAGCAGGGGCGGCTATTATTGTCTTAGTGCCTCACTGACTCAGAGAGAATCAGGCCTTGATTATTTTTCCTGCTGTGGCATGTAAAACTTATTTGGGGGTAGCAGGGGGGAGAAGGGTTATTGGAAAATTAGAAGAGAAAGAAACTCCCTAGCTGGGGAGGAACTTAGTCCAGGGCTAAGCGCCAGCAGCGTGTGAACCTGCTAATCGGGATTTTCCTTCTGGCAGTTTCCGACGGCAAGGTGAAGACCCCAGCTAAGCTGTGTTCCGCCCTGACTCTCTCCGGCCTGGTGGACGTCAAAGAGGTTTGTAACCGTCGACTTAGCTGGGACTTGAAGCCCTTGGCGACGACCCCCTTAGCTCCTTGTCAGCTGACCTAGTGAGAATGGGAGGAATAACAGCCCGAAGGTGAGGTGGTTAGTGAATAGGCCAGGGAACCTGTGAGGTATGAGATAGCTTGGGCCCAGGAGGCTGGAGCACCTCCAGCCATGTCCCTGCTGGCGGTCACCACGCAGGCAGGAGACAGTGACGCAGATCTCACCCACGTACATCCTGGGTCAGGGACATGCGCTCACCTAAATCACTGGGGGTTTGGTGGGGGTGTTGAGAAGGTTGGGGGCAAGGTTCCATATTTTTTCGAAGGGGGGAGTGAGGTGGAGGAGTAAAATGGGGATTGGTGCTGCTCCCCTGACTCCGTGCTCAAGGGTCACTCCTGGCGAGCTTGGGGCATCACAGGGGGTGCCGGGGGCCGAACCTGGGTTGGCCACGTGCTCTATCGCTCCCTCCTACCCGCTGTCCTATTACTCCGGCCCGGGGGGTCACTCCTGGCGGGGCTTGGAGGATCATATTTATGCTGACTTCCAAACTGGAGATGGTCATGTACAAGGCAAACGCCTCACCCGTGTACTCTCTCTCTCTCTGGCCTGTGACCCCGTTTCTTTTTCCTTTTTCTCTTTTCGTTTTTGAGTCTCTCAAAGCAGTGGACAGGGACCTCTCTCGGTTCCGTGCTGGGAGGCGGTCACTCCCTATGTGCTTGGGGTACCATGCAGTGCCGGGAACTGAACCCAGGACTTTCGTACGCAAAGCATTCACTCTGTACCTCGGTGCGGTCTCCCCTCCGCCTGGAATCCCGTTTCTGATACGTTATTAGAAATTCTTGTGAAATAGGGGCCGGGGCGACCGTGCAGCCGGGCAGGGTGCTTGTGTCACACGTAGATGACCCAGGTTGTGGCCCCAAAACGGAAACCGCAACTGAAGTGGAGATGTTCATACTCCTACGTGTTACTGTTTCCTTGTGTGAGTGTTAAGTGTGCACTGTGAGAATGGATAGGGGTGTTTGCCTTGCATGCAGCCGACGTCGGTTTGATCCCCAGCACCCCATAGGGTCCCGTAAGCCCTCCGGGAGTGATGCCTGAGTGCAGAGCCAGGAGCGACCCCTGAGCATTGCCAGGGATGACCCAGAAACAAGCAAACAAAAAGTGTTCACCTCTAGAGCCACAAACTGCTGACATGCTGTGTGACCAGGACCTCGTTTCCTTGCGCCCAGCCTTTCTTATTTTTCCTTTTAGTTTAAGGTTTCCCGATTCCTAATCCTAAAATAAGGGATACTCAAAATTATCTAAGAATATAAACTATGAAATGACGTGCCCGCCCATGCCATGCTCACACTTGTCTCTTGAGGAAGCAGCTGACACATGCTTTATTTTGGTGTTGGGACGGGGGGGGGGGGGGGCGTTGGGGCTGCAGCAGCAGAGCTGGGGGCTATTCCCAGCTGTGGGCTTAGATCCTGACTCGTCTTGGGACCCTTCCCGTCACAACCCTTACCAGGACTCGCGCCGCACCCTGGGCTTCAGTGTATTCTCTGAAGTGTCCAGATCGCAGTTATGCCCTAGGTTTCTGATCCATTTCTCTCTCTCTCTCTCTCTCTCTCTCTCTCTCTCACACACACACACACACACACACACACATACACACACACACACACACACACACACACTGCCCTAGGTTTCTGATCCATAGGGATATGGAATGTTTCTATACACACAAACATACACTCTCTCTCTCTCTCTCTCTCTCTCTCTCTCTCTCTCTCTCCCCCTCCCTCCTCCCATACTTAATGCAAAGAAATGAGGATTTGCCCCTGCCAGGAAACCTGGGGAGGCAGTGCCCTGCGTTCTGTGGCCTGTGACTGAGTCCTTTGTGGTGTCTCCCATTCCAGCTGCAGCGGGAGTCCCTGAGCCCCGAGGAGAGACAATCTGCTCAAGAGCATCTGGGTTACCAGAGTGACAGCCTGTCCGCTGTCCAGGTCACGGGCAAGAAACCCAACTTTGAAGTGGGTTCCTCTACTCAGCTTAAACTTTCTTTTGCCAAGAAGTCACCTGCAGGTACGTCCGCTAGGGACAGACTCCTGTCTACACGGGCTGGGAGGAAGTGAGGCTTAGGAGCGGGCCAGAGGGGTGGGTGAAGTGGTGAGAGTTGAGTAGGACTTTTCTCTGTCACTGTCCTCCCGTGGTTCATCAATTTGCTCGAGCGGGCCCAGTAACGTCTCCATTGTGAGACTTCTTGTTACTGTGTTTGGCATATTGAATACGTCACGAGTAGCTTGCCAGGCTCTGCCGTGCAGGCGAGATACTCTCGGTAGCTTGCCGGGCTCTCCGAGATGGGCGGAGGAATCGAACCTGGCTCGGCCGGGCTGACTGCGCGCAAGGCAAACACCCTACCACTGTGCTATCACTCCAGCCCACCTTCCTTATTTTGGGGGGCGGGGGGGTCACACCCGGCTATGCACAGGGGTTACTTCTGACTCTGCACTCAGGAATCGCTCCTGGCGGTGCTCGGGGGACCCTATGGGATACTGGGACTCGAACCCGGGTCGGCCTCGTGCAAGGCAAACGCCCTACCTGCTGTGCTTTCTCTCTGACTCCTCTGTCACCTCCCTTAATGTCCGTCACTTCCCGAGTAGAAAAAGTGCTTCATGACCTGGGCATATTTGGGCCCGAAACTGAAAGAATATGTTGCTGTAAAGCCACTCGGCCCCTTCCTCTGCCCCAGAGGACATGCGTCACATTCTGGAGGCCTGAGTCACAGGCTTAGCTAATGAAGTCTTTGCCGGCCCCAGGATTACACCTCCCTCCTCGAGGCCCTTCCTGTGGTGGAGCTGGAGATGAGACGCCTGCTTCGCCTCTCACGTGGCCTTAGTTCTATTTTGCTAAGGGCAACATTTTTTGGCGTGTGTGAGGGGGGGGTTGGGCGGGCACACCTGGTACTGCTCGGGGCTCATTCCTGGCTCTGCGCCCAGGGCTTGGGGGTCCTCACGGAGATCGAACCTGGGTCAGCCGCCTACGAAGCAGGCACGTTACCCTGCTGTACTCTCTCTGTCTGGCCCACAGTTTTTCATTTTTAAGTTTCCTTTTGTTTTTGTTTCTGGCCAGATGTGCGTGTGCTCAGGAGCTAATGACCCCCGGCGGTGCCTGGGGACCGTGTCTGGACTTGCGCTGGGGCCAGCGGGCGTGCAGGGCCTCAACGCCTGGACAGTCTCTCTGTTCATGTGGAGCAGCTTTTCTTGAATGTGGTCGTTTATGTGATGCCTCACTGCTTGTGTGGTGCTTTCATTTTCTTATTTCATTTTTAAATCTTTTGTGGCTGGTGTCGGGAGCTCTGTTTGCCCCATGTGCTGTAGCTCTGTAGCACTGTCCTCCCGTTGTTTATCGATTTGCTCGAGCGGGCACAGGTAACGTCTCCATTGTGAGACTTGTTGTTACTGTTTTTTGGCATATCGAATACGCCACGGGGAGCTTGCCAGGCTCTGCCATGTGGGCGGGATACTCTTGGTAGTGGAGGAATCAAACCCGGGTCAGCCGCGTGCAAGACCTGCCCACTGTGCTATTGCCCCAAGTGCTACAGAGTGGAAAGTAAGACAGAGAGAAGGAAGCTGTGTGCGGTAGCAGATGGGCTTGCGTCCTTGGGCTTTGGTCGCTAGGTAAGGGTGTTAGCCTGTTTCCTCATCTCCAAAATGAGGACCACGAAATGCTCATCTCAAGAGGCGGTTCACAGGCTAGAATTGAGGTGACGAGTGTCAGGTGCTTCAGAGAGTTCTGTGACTGTCCCCATGACCGGCCCGAGGTCATGCCTTTCACAAGCCAGGTGTGAGGTCGAGTCCCCGCCCAGGTGCTCCCCATGTAGTGCTCTCGCCACACTGTCCTTGGCTCCCCGCTGTTCTCACGCGGCTCTTTCTCTCCCTCTGGTGGGACCCAGTGAAGCCTGCCGTGGACCCCACTGCCGCCAAGCTCTGGACACTCTCGGCCAACGACATGGAGGATGGGAGTGCGGTGAGTGTGGTCCCCTGGGCTCCTTGGGCAGGGTAGTTTGGGGTGCCTGGCTCGGCGTGACCTCTTTGGACTTGTCAGTGACAGTATTTCAAGTCCAGCATTGTGACTGCCTGCCACTGGCATTTGGGTGGAGGTTTTTGGTTTTAGGGTGGTTTTTTGTTTTTTTTGTTGTTGTTGTTTTGGTTGGTTTGTTTGTTTGTTTGGTTTTTTTTTTTTGCTTTTTGGGTCACACCCAGCAATACTCAGAGGTTACTCCTGGCTTTGCACTCAGGAATTACTCCTGGTGGTGCTTGGGGGACCATATGGGATGCCAGGGATCGAACCTGGGTCTGCCGCGTGCAAGGCAAACACCCTACCCGCTGTGCTATGCTCCGGTCCCCCTGTTTTGTTTTCTTTTGGGTCCTACCCAGTGATGCTCGGGTTACTCCTGACTGTACTCAGGGATCATTCCTGGCGGGGCTCGGGGGACCCTGTGGGATGCCGGGGATCGAACCTGGGTTGGCTGCATGTAAGGCAAGCGCCTGACTCACTGTACCCTTGCTCTAGCCATGTTTGTTTAGTTTTGGGGGCACAGCTCAGGGGTCATTCCTATAGGGCATGGGAGACGGAGAAAGAAGTGGGCCTGGGATCAGCCCTGGGCCTCCCGCATGCTCTGCAGGGGTCAGACCCCACGCATGCCCTTTCACTGCCGTTCACCCCCCCCCCCCCCACACACACACACACATACACAAGCACACACTCTCTCTTTCTCGCTGGCCCGGCGCTGGTCATCTCAAGCACTGTTTCTCAGCCGGGCCGTGGTGTACCCCCAGGTTATTCCAGGGGGGCCACCGGTGAGAATCATGTCGATGGGGAGCCTGGGCACAAGACTCGGGCCAGCGAGAAGATGGGAGCTGGGAGCTGCCCGAAAGGAAACAGGCTGTAGGGGCCATGGCGGGAAGAAGGCTGAGAAACTGAGACGTGGGGGGAATTCACACGGAGAGATCTCTCTCTCCTTGTCCGCGTTCTGTTTCCCCCAAGATGTTCTTGTTCACACGGCCTCTGGGCATGTGTGAACCTGAAAAGAGTCTTGTCAGCTAAGATCCCCTCCCTATCCCCTCCCTGGCTCCTGCTCTCGGCGGGCTCTGAGCACTTCCTGTCTTTGGTCAGTGCTGTCACAGCCACCGTCCCCGCCCGCTCGGCTGTTCGGGGTCACTCGGAGGCAGACTAGAAGCCTCCCGTGACCTGCACACACGCGAGTCAGACTTCCCCCAAGTGCATGCATCGCCGCTGGCTTTATTCCTCTGGAGTTGCAGGGAAGAATCTAGCCATTCCCTTTCCACACGGCAGCCCCTCCTTGTGTTCACAGAAACCCAGAATTCCTCTTCGTGCCCCTCCCCACACACACTCACACTCTCGGCACCGAGTGTAACACTCTCTGTGGCTAGTTTAATTCACGGGGCTCAGGGTCGGCGTGGAGATCCCGAGCAGGTGGGTGGTCCGTCCCTGCTGTCCACGGTGGCGGTGGCTTCTCAGTGGCAGATGCTGACCTGGGCCCTAATGCTTTCCACCTGCCTTAGGATCTCATAGACTCGGATGAGCTGCTTGATCCAGAAGATCTGAAGAAGCCGGATCCAGCCTCCCTGCGGGCAGCACCTTGCGGGGAGGGGAAGAAGAGGAAGGCCTGTAAGAACTGGTGAGTGCCGGGCTCTGTGAAAGTCCGCCCGAGGCTGCCATGGGCCTCTCCTTCCAGGGTGTGTGGCCAGGTGGGGAGCCCCTGCCCCCAAGAGCAGAGTGCACGGGTTGTCGTGGGGGTTGACACGGTGACCACCCGCGGGAAGAACCTGAAGTTCCTGGTTCGCCCTGTTCCTCCTCCCCATGAGAGGTCCCTGCTCTCCCAAGTCCTTGATGCTCAGTCCCTGCTGTTGGGGTGCTCCAGCACCTCTGGGCGAACCTCCACGCAGGACATCACCGAGACGTGAAGCCAGCCCTCATGGAGCAAGGAGGGCCACTGTTCCCCGCTCCCAAGGGCTCTGGGGCAAGGTCAGCTCGGCAGGCCCCGGGCACTGGAGTCTGCAGGCGCCCCTCCCGGCGGCTGAGGAGTGCTGAGTGGGCTGTGGGCCGGTGTGGGGGCGGGGGGTGGCACGGTCACTGCATCGGCTGGTCGGCGTGAGGCCGGGGTCCATGGCTGCACACAAAGCCACGCTGGATTCATCTGGGAAACATAAAGTAACAATAGGAGACTAACATCCAAGAATAGCCGAGATAAGTACCAGGAGGTTCACTCCATGGCTTGGAGGCCAGCCGCACATGCTAGGGGAAAAGGCAGCTCAGATAGAGAAGGGAGCACCAAATAAAGGGTGTTGGGAGGATCCTCCCAGGATGGGAGATGCATGCTGAAAGTAGACTATAGACCGAACATGATTGCCACTCAATGCCTCTTTTGCAAACCACAGCACCCAAAACGAGAGAGAGAACAAAAAGGAATGCCCTGCCACAGAGGTAGGGTAGGATGGGAGGGTGGGGAGGGTGGGAGCGATTCTAGGAGCATTGGAGGTGAGGAATGGGCACTGGTAGAGGGATGGGTACTCAATCATTGTATAACTGAAACCCAAGCACAAAAATTTGTAAGTCTACAACTGTACCTCATGGTGTTTCACTAATAAAACAAAAAAGCCACGCTGGGAGGGAGGAGGCGTGGCCTGCCGGTGGTGTCAGCTCTCCTGTGGGCCAGGTGCCCCCGGCTCCTCATCTTCGGGGTGAGGAGGGGAAGGCGGAGCGGCCTGCCCCCAAGGCCGCCGTGCTCTGAGACAGTGGCCGCCTGTCACACACCCAACTCCCTGCTGTCTCCTCCCGGATCACGCATGGGGCAGGCACTCTGCTGAGAGCTGGGTCCCTGCCCCCCTTTTTTTTCCATTCATACTCTGTAACTCGTGTTTAGGAATCTAACTGGGGAATGACTTTTTCTCTTGGAATTTTAATGACAGTTCTGTTATCTGTTTTTGGGGATTATGATCTGAGACCATTCTGTTTCTGAATGCTTTCTCTAAGACTCCCTTTTTTTTTTTCTTCCTGTTTTGGAAGTTTCTAGACCCTTCCTCCTTCCTGGTATCATGGTATTGGTTAGTAGACTTATTATAGGGGCAGTATCTGGTGGTATTCGGGGGCCCGTGCAGTGCCAGGGACTGAACACAGTGGCACGAGCCCTCCTGCCTGAAGCCACCGGCCCGCTCCTCAGGCTCTGGGTACCGACTTCTAGCAGGGCTGGTTTCCGATGGGACCAGCCACTTATTAGTCTTTCACGTCTAGAACATCACGTCTGCAGTCCTGAGAAGTCTGATTTTTCCTTGGGATTTTTGTCTTTGTCCTTTGCTTTTCTTCCTCTGAGCTGTTACTCAGATGTCGGATCTCTTTGATGGACTTTTGTCATTTTTTTCTTTTCTTTTTTTGTTTGGATTTTGCTTTTTTGGGGTTACACCTGGCAACGCTCAGGGATCACTCCTGGCTCCGCACTCAAGAATCACTCTTAGCAGTGCTTGAGGGACCATATGGGATGCCAGAGATAGAACCCGGGTTGGCTACATGCAAAGCAACGCCCTACCTCCTCTACAATCACTCTGACCCCATCATTTTTTTCTCTCAAATTTTCCATATATTTGTATGTGCAGGTGCGCGCGTGTGTGCGTGTGCGTGTGCGTGCCCGTGCCCGCGTGTGCGCATCTTCCTTTGAGGGGGAAATGCCTGCAAGTTTATCCTCCAAAACCGGTACTCGATACTTCGTTACTTTATTTCTACTGTGATATTTTTTTTTTTTCCCCTTTATTTTATTTTATTTTTTTTTAAAGTTGTAGATTTACAATTTTTTGTGCTTTGGTTTCAATTATACAATGATCAGATACCCATCCCTCCACCAGTGCCCATTTTCCACCACCATGGACAATATCCCTCCCACCCCCATCCCCCCATCCCCCCGTCTCTGTGGCAGGGCAATCCCCTGTGTTCTCTCTCTCCTTTTGGGTGTTGTGGTCTGCAAAAGAGGCATTGAGTGGCAAACATGTTCAGTCCATAGTCTACTTTCGACATGCATCTCCCCTCCTGGGAGGATCCTCCAAACATCCTTTATTTGGTGCTCCCTTCTCTATCTGAATAGCCCTTTCCTCTAGGATACCCGGCTTCTACTGTGATATTTTACTCGATACTTCGTTACTTTATTTCTACTGTGATATTTTACTCGATACTTCGTTTCTTTATTTCTACTGTGATATTTTAAGTTTCTTGGATTTTTTTTTTTCTTTTTGGGTCACACCTGCCTGGCAATGCTCAGGGCTTACTCCTGACTCTGCTGTCAGGAACTACTCCTGTGCTCAGGGGGCCATACGGAATGCTGGGAATCGAATCCAGGTTGCCGCATACAAGCCAAATGCCCTACCCTATGTGCTACTGCTCCAGCCCCTCCCTTTTTTTAAAATCCCTTGACTTCAAAAGTATGTGTTATATTTTTATTTGTGTTGTTTTGGGGTCACACCCAGAAATGCAAGTCTTACTGTCTTACCTTTCCAGTTTCTAACATTTTTTCGGTTTTGGGGTCACACCCGACAATGCTCATGGGTTCCTCCTGGCGGTGCTCTGGGGACCATGTGGGATGCCGGGGATGGAACCTGGGTTGGCCCTGTGCCAGGCAAGCGCCCTCCCCGCTGTACTCTCTCGGGCTCCCCTGGCATCCTTTCTTATTTGTGGAGATGACCTTGTTTCTTGAGCTTAGTGCTAGTTCTCTCAAGACTTTTTATACCCTGCATTGTCTTTTCCCCAACTTGACAGTCTCTGTGAGACTGTCGTTAGAGGAGAATCCTGGTGACTCTTAGTCATGAGCCGCAGCTGGAGGGCATGGTGCTCGCCGGGCACTCTGCTGACTCACTGTCCTGAGGGGACCCGGGTGGGCTTTGGAGGGCTCTGCAGACTCTGTGTCTGGGTGGATCTCTCCGAGGAAGGACAGCTAATTCCTCTGGTGCTGGCGACTCACTTCGTGGTTTGGGGCTATGAGTTCATCATTGATCTTCCTCCCTACCGGCGTGGGGTGTGGAGCCTACCCAGTCAGTGCTCCCTCGGGCTGGGTTGCTTTGGGTTGCTTTGGGTCAGGGCTGGGTTGCTTTGCATCTCGGCTCCTTGCTTTGCATCTCTGTCTTTGTGGGCTGGTGTCTCTGATGGGGTTCGGAGGGAAGGGGGAGTTGGATGTATGCTTTCAGTCTGTCGGGGTCAGTATTTGGTGGTGGTGGTTGGTGGTGGGGGGAATCACACCCATCGGTGTTCAGGGGCTACTCCTGGCTCTGCTTGTGGGCTCACTCCTGGCGTGACTCAGGGGACCACATGTGGTGTTGGGGATCGAACCTGGGCCAGCCCTGTCTTGCTCCCCGTCCTGTCTCTCCAACCCTGATGGAGCCGGACTCCACATTCTGTCCTGGCATCTCACGGCCTCCTGAGCACCGCAGGGTGTGGCCCTACAGGCCTCCAGCACTGCCGGGGTGTCCCCCCACCGTTGCTCCCCCAAATAACCTCAAGATGCAGAATCAGAGGTTCCCTGGTGATAGAGGCGCAGGCTCGTCTAACCACCCGCGTTTTGTTAAACCGTGGGCATTGCCAGCACTTCCTGGTTAGGGGGTTTCCAGGTAAAAGTTCAGTTTCCTCTTCCTGTTGGTGTGCCTCCTCCTGAGTATTCGTCAGCTGGGGAAGAGCAGGGACACTAGACCAGGTAAGGTTGGGAGCCTCTGCGCCTGCGCTCCCGCCTGCAGCCCTGGCAGAAAGTGCTCGAACCTGCTTGGCGCCCTCCAGGATCAGGTTTTCAGGCGGCAACAAATCTCACTCGCGGCCCCTTCTTCCCCAGCACCTGCGGCCTTGCAGAGGAACTGGAGAAGGAGAAGTCCCGGGAGCAGACGAGCACCCAGCCCAAGTCAGCCTGCGGGAACGTGAGTACCGGTCATTCCCCCCGTTCACAGAACTCCCCGAGCCGTCAGGCACCCTGGCAGGCGACACACCGACTCGTCAGGGCATCACGGGCAGGAGTGGGTGCGTGGGGGCCCTGATACCAGTAGGCGGCTACCTCTGTGCTCAGGGGTTGCTCACTCCTGGCGGCCTCCTTGGGAACCACATGTGGCCTAGGGGAGTGACCAAGTCACCACATGTAAGGCAAACATCCTCCCCCACTGTGCTCTCTCTGGCCCCTTGGCTGGGATTTAAACTGCTGAGAATATGGAAAGAGGCCTTCCCAGGAACTTTCCTAAGCAGCTGTTTTTATAAAACTAAAATTCTTTTGTTTGTTTGTTTGTTTGTTTGATTGATTTGGGGCCATACTGGGCAGTGCTCAGGAATTCCTCCTAGCAGTGCTTGGGGACTATATGGGATGCCCGAGATTGAACCCGGGTTGGCCGTGTGCAAGGCAAACATCCTCTCTGCTGTACTGTCGCTCCAGCCCCTAAAATTAGAATTCTTAAAGATCTCTTAATATAATATTAGACCTGCTGAGGGACTGGAGCAAATAGTACAGCGGGTAGGGCGTTTGCCTTGCACACAGCTGACCCTTATAGTTTCCCGAGCACCACTAGGAGTAATTCCTGAGTGCAAGCAAAGCCAGGAGGAACCCCTGAGCATCGCCAGGTGTGACCCTAAAAGCAAAAAAAAAAAAAATCGGACCTCCCGATACACATAGGCTCTTCCTTTGGGCCAGATTGGCCCGGATTTGGGGGGGCACTGGGCACGGGGCGCGCCTGTGTGACTGTCTCTTTTCCCCACAGTGCTACCTGGGTGATGCTTTCCGCTGTGCCAGCTGCCCCTACCTGGGGATGCCCGCCTTCAAGCCCGGGGAGCAGGTGCTCCTGACCAATAGCAATCTCAGTGACGCCTAGGGGGCCCGCCTTGGGACACGGGTATCGGCCCCTGTCCCCCACACCCCCCCACTCTGCTTCACCTCCTCGGAATCTGCCCCCGCGCCTGAGTTCCACGTGCCGGGAGGTGCTCAGGAGTCAGAGGTGGCTGTGGGCTGCCGTGCTGCTACAAAAGACCGAGGGGTCGCGGGCCCCCTCTGCCCTGCTCCTCCACCTGGTCTCAGGGCAGGAGTGTGTCCTGGAGAGGCTCCTCCCCCTCATCCCCTCCATCCCCACACGCTCTGTTCACACCCTGTGCCGCCCCCCTGCCACGCTCAGGCGCGTCTCAGGGCACCAAGACTCACCCTCCAAGCTGGGAACACATCCAGTGTCATCGTCATCGTGTGTCCTCCCCCTCCCCCCCACCCCATTTACTGTCATCCTGTCCTCTCCAGGGATTAAACTGTGTACTTCCCAGGGCCCTCTGAGAAGGGGCTGTGTATGTCTCTGTGTGTGTGATGTGTGTGTCTGTGGTGTGTGTGTGTATGTGTGTGTCTGTGTGATGTCTGGTGGGAGGGGCTGTGAGTTCAGAGAGTGTGGGGGTGTACGATGCGTGCCTTTGGTCACTGAGAACTACCTCCCCAGCAGAGAGACCAAAAAAAAAAAAAAAACCAAAATATCCACAGATGGATGGTGAAAGTGGCCCGTTTAATGGAGAGCTGCTAGCATACTTAAAGAACATCGACGGGGTTTGAGGTGTGGGACTGCACGTAGGTGTGGCGGATCATTTATAGAGATAAAGCGTTTCGGCGGAGGCGATTCTCTTGGGGGGATTAACTCTAGGAGATACCCTGTCTCCCAGGGACATCCATATCGCTTTTCACTTTCCCTTTTGTTGTACATATTAAACCATTAAGTTTACTTCTTATTAATACTTGCAGTTATTTGGATAAACACAGTGAGAGATACAGATTCCAAAACTTAATTCTCTGGGCTCCGAGGGCAAGACTGCTGGACTCCACCAAAGGACCTAGCTAGGCCAGTTCAGCTTGTCCTTTCCCGGGGGGGGGGGGGGGGGGGGGGGTCCTGTCTCTTAAGTCACAGTGGCTTGCATCAAGACCATGCTTTTATGCTTTCTAGATTGTTCCATTTCGATGCCGGACTAGGCTTTGTTGCTTGTCCCGGGTCCGTCCCAGTCCCACGGTGGGACCTTCCTTTGTGGGGTGTTAGGAACTCGGCAACTGAAGCCTGAGTCAAGTAATTTTGACAGATGCCCAGGAATAGATATATTCGAGTCGGTCACCTCCCAGATATTCGGCGTACAGGATTAACGGTCTTTCTATGTTTAAGCAAAGAAGAGTGCTCTGTGGCAAAATGTGAAAAGGCAGTAGGGGAACTAGAAAAGCAAGTCATGCATTTCAGATGCCAAGTCCAGAGAACCTGAAAGTTTTGACTTAGAAGTAGCTACGACTGACTTGGAAATTGTGACAATGAGAAGCAAAACACAAAGGAAAGGCTAAAAGATATTCGGATTAGGAATGCTCACAAGAGCGCTCTAAGCTTCTGTGGGAGGAGGAAAAGGGGCAGCCCAGTTCGAGGGTGGCACTCGGCTGGCCTGGAAACCCAGCTTAGCCCGGCAGGAGGGACCGGGTCACCCAGCCGTCTGCATGAAGTGTGCGCTGTGCACGGAATGCAGCCTCAGTTTACACTTGGAGAAACTGGGTGGGACAGGGTGAGGGCCATGGCTGCCAGACTCCCTGGCACTGGGGAATCTCAGGCCCCGTAGTCACCAGCTCGCCCTCTCTGAGCCCACTCGCCTGCTCCCGGGGGTGGGGACACCCCTTCCACACACTGCCCAGAGGAGCACTAAGCTCCCAGCAGTGCCCCTGCGTGCAGAGGGGAGGGTGAGAAGGGGGGGAGGGGAACGAGCTTCAGAGCAACGGGAAGGGGGGCCAAGGAAGGGCTTGGGGCCACACCCGGCGGTGCTCAGGGCTCACACCTGGCGGGGCTCGAGTCATTAACAGACCTGGAGCCACGAGCTGGGGGCCGGGGGAAGGGTAGAAACTCGGGTTCAGGAATGGAAGGAGGCTTCCAGCTTGGGGTGACCTTTCTCTTACACTCATTAATAATTAAGTGGATTGAGGGTTGGGTTTTTCTCCGTTCTTCCACCAGGGGGCGCTCGGGCTCCCAAATTAAGATTGAGATGGGTGTGCTAGGGCACCCCAGATTCCGTCATGGCAGCCAGGGCCTTGGGTCAGGGTGCCCACAGTGGGCCGGCTGAGCTGGGTGGGTGCAGAGGGAGGGAGGAAAAGGAAGGACAGCGCTGGGCACACAGGGCTTGGACTCCGGGCGCTCAGGGGCTGTGCCAGCCTGGGGTGTGCAAACCCCCCAGAGTTCACGGACCCTCCCCCATGTCCCGAGCCCACCCCCTGCCATCTTACATCCTGCAATTGCAGGGAGGGACCCCTGAGCCCGGGCCCGGCCCTCCCACCTCCTCATGCCCCAGACCAGACTCTCCCCTGACCCAGCTAGCACAGGGCTGGGAACCTATTAAGCAGGGGCAGCTTCTGGCGGCCGGAAGGATCCACACGAGCCAGCCAGCCGTCCACTGTCCACCTGCCCCACCTCGCTCTTCCCATGGACCCCCGCAACCCCACCCCCGAGCCCCCAGCCCCAGGCTGCTGCGCTGTGAGGTGCCACAGGCCCTTGCCTGTGAAACAGAGGGAGTCTGCATGGGGCCTCCCTCACCCCGCCTCCGGGTAAGCCCCACGGATACATTTTTTAAAAAATTTTTATTAGTGAAACACCATGAGGTACAGTTGTAGACTTACAAATTTTTGTGCTCGGGTGTCAGTTATACAATGATCGAGTACCCATCCCTCCACCAGTGCCCATTCTCTACCACCACGGATCCCAGTATCCCTCCAACCCCCCCCCACCCCCCCCATCTCACCCTGCCTCTGTGGCAGGACATTCCCTTTTGTTCTCTCTCTCCTTTTAGGTGCTGTGGTTTGCAAAAGAGGCATTGAGTGGCAACCATGTTCGGCCTATAGTCTACTTTCAGCATGCTTCTCCCATCCTGGGAGGATCCTCCCAACACCCTTTATTTGGTGTTCTCTTCTCTATCTGAGCTGCCTTTTACCCTAGAATGTGTGACTGGCCTCCAAGCCATGAAGTAAACCTCCTGGTACTTATCTCGGCTATTCTTGGGTGTTAGTCTCCTGTTTTGTTACTTTATGTTCCCCAAATGAATGCAATCTTTCTATGTCTATCCCTCTCTTTCTGACCCATTTCACTTAGCATGATACTTTCCATGTAGTACCGCTTGTATGTAAATTTCAAAGTCATGAAATTTACAGGTACATTTTTCATGTTTAAATGTTTAATTTGGAGGGGGGGTGGATTGGGTCACACCTGGCATTACTCACTCAGCCCTTACTTGTGGCTGTGCTCAGGGATCACTCCCAGCAATGCTCAGGGGACCACATGGGGTGTCGGGGGTCGAACCGGGGGCGGCTGCATAGAGGCAAGCACCCTCCCCCGCTGCACTCTTCTTCCGGGCCCTCCACAGGTCCGTTTTAACAAGGGGTCTGGGTCAGTGCCCTCTGGGCCACATGCAGACCTGGGCCTGGCACCTCCTTCCCTGGACACCCCTTGGGAGGTTCGTGGCCAGGAGGAAGAGCAGCACCCGAGGGAAGCCGGCTCAGGAAGCCTGCCTGTCCCCTGCGGACACTGGAAGAGGCCTGGCCCTTGGACGGCACGGGTGAAAGGCCAAGCAGAGCCGGTCAGGAGAGCCCAGGAGGGCAGGCTGGCTGCCCCACCCCGTGAGTCCTTGTTCCCATCGTCGGTGGGTGACTAACGGACTCTCGTCACTCAGAGACGGGGCAATCGGTATCTTTCCAGGAAAACGGGGGACTTCTCAGAGGAGCCACCACTTTTTCTGTTTAGTTTACTTTGGGGGCCACACCTGCCAATGCACAGGGGTTCCTCCTGGCTCTGCACTCAGGAATCACTCCAGACAGTACTCAGGCAACCATATGGGATGCCGGGGATCCAACCTAGATGGGTCATCTGCAAGACAAGCATCCTCCCCGCTGGACTATCTCTCCAGCCTGCCACTCTTCTTTTTTTTTTAATTTATTTATTTATTTTTGCTTTTTTGGGTCACACCTGGAGATGCACAGGGATTACTCCTGGCTCTGCACTCAGGAGTTACTCCTGGCGGTGCTCAGGGGACCATATGGGATGCTGGGGATTGAACCCGGGTTGGCTGCGTACAAGGCAAACGCCCTACCCACTGTGCTCTAAAACACCATGAGGTACAGTTGTAAAACTTACAAACTTTCGTGCTTGGGTTTCAGTTATACAATGATCAAGTACCCATCCCTCCACCAGTGCCCATTTTCTACCACCAATGATCCCAGTATCCCTCCCACCCCCCTTCACCCTTCAGTATCCCTTCACCCTGCCTCTGTGGCAGGGCATTCCCTTTTGCTCTCTCTCTCCTTTTGGGTGTTGTAGTTTGCAATAGAGGTATTGAGTAGCCATCGTGTTTGGTCTATAGTCTACTTTCAGCACGCATCTTGCATCCCGAGCGAGTCCTCCAAACACCCTTTACTTGGTGTTCCCTTCTTTATCTGGGCTGCCTTTCCCCCCAGCATGTGGTGCCGGCTTCCAAGCCGTGGAGCAGACCAAATGCTCGAGCAAATCGATGATCAACGGGAGGGCCTTTACTTACTTACTTACATCTTTTCTAACAGCTGCATAGTATTCTATTGTGTAGATGTACCAGAGTTTCTTTAACCAGTCATCTGTTCTTAGGCACTCAGGTTTTTCCCCACATTTTGGCTGCTGTGAACAGATGCCACTGCTTTTTCATGTCCATTCAGGGGCTGTGGCTTGTATGAGTTGAAGGTCCCCAAGGTGGGGGTGGGGTGGAGGGAGGCCATGCTGGGCTTCCAGTGGAGAAGCAGCTGGTTCTGCCTGGCTCTCAGCCCTGGGATTCGGAGCAGCATCCACGGTTCCGCCCTGTCTTTCTTGGTGGCCCTTCTCCAAAGCCACTGGCTGGCCGGGGAGCCACTCAAGACTGGCCATGGGCTGCTGTTGCCTGCTGAGAGGCCAGCCTTAAATGGACATGCTCGGGAGACTCAAACTGGACAGCTGAGAGGAGTCAGCCCCAGTGTCCCCCAGTGGGTGCTCGGATAAGCATCTCTTGACCGTCCATGCCGCAGAGTGGACGTGAGTGGAGTCCATGCTGGGGAGCCAACCCCCTGGCCCCGTGCTGCCTCCAGGACAACTGCTATGAAGTGATAGTCCAGGAGGGACGGCACTTGCCTTGCATGTGGCTGACCCAGGTTGCATCCCTGGCATCCTGTATGGTCCCCCCGCGCTCCACCAGGAGCGACCCCTGAGCACAGTAATAGTAACCACTGAGGGGCTGGAGCCATAGTACAGCGGCGAGGCTGTCCAGGGAAGGAGATGCCCAGGCCCAGGTCTGCATGTGGCCCAGAGGGCACTGGCCCAGACCCCTTGTTAAAACGGACCTGTGGAGGGCCCGGAAGAAGAGTGCAGCGGGGGAGGGTGCTTGCCTCTATGCAGCCGACCCAGGTTCGATCCCTGACATCCCATATGGTCCCCGGAGCACCGCCAGGAGTAATTCCTGAGTGCATGAGCCAGGACTAGCCCCTGAGCATCACCAGGTGTGACCCAAAAGGCAAAATAAATAAATAATAAAAAAGAATAACCACTGAGCATAGTTGGGTGTGAGCCCCAAACAAACAAACAAAAAAAAAAAAAAAAGAAAAAGAAAAAACAAAAAAAAAAAAAAAAGAAAAAATCCCCACTAAAGCCAAATATAAAACGGTTCATAATATGCAAATTTAACTAAAAAAAAGAAAGTTAACTAAAGATAAAGAAAGCCAGAAGGCC